CGGGGGGGGGGGGACCTTTGACAAGTTGCCTGTTTCCTGTCCCCGACGAGGTTACTAGGGAGATGGTGGCCTTCAGGTAATTTCAGGATAATATAAACCGAAGTTCATGTAAGTCTAACTTACCCTTGAAACTTCAGCGAGCCCCACAGATATAGCGAGGAAACAGCCTTTAGTGTGAGGATATAAGCGCATATATGACTAGAAATGAATGAGAAGGGAATCATTAGATTAGACGACCGACAGCACGAAAGGAGGAGCTTAGGAGCTGAAACTAAACCCTGCAAATAATTCTTTACACGTTTCTGTACCTGCAATGGTGCAGGACCCGGTGCCTTCAAGACTGCACCTCCAACACTACCCACCTCCCCCCTAATCTTCCCCCAAGGTGTAGTTTAACATTGTGGTGTAATGCCCACACCTTGTTTGATCATCGCCTTGTGGCCAATGATCAAACAAGGCGGTTTTGAGGGAAGGAGGGAGGGGGAGAGGAGAGAGAAAGATCAAGAAAGAAATAACGATGAAGTGAGTTAGTCTAGTTTAGTTCATTTATTATGCACCCCATACCCATATTGTGGGCGGTAGCGGAAAGGGTTACAGAGGTACATAATGGGCTCAGGGACTGAACCCCACAATTCATTTAGCTAAGCAAGTTACAATCTTGATGAGCAAGTTACAAAATTCAATAGACATCGAATTATCATTGGGTTCGAGATCGACCACAAGTACGGTTTCTAAATTAAGCAACTGACATATGTGGAGAGCTAGTGTCACAATTGATATGTTTGTCCTGCACACCGCCCCCCAATCCAGTGGGCAGCGGTGGATAGGTTACAATCACTTAGTTACTACCTACAGTTAGCAAACTGGGGATATTTGGCTAAAATTTCTGGTAGCAGATCATTTTGAATGAAATATTTACACATCTTTGGAACATTTGTTATAGAATTGTCTCGTACTTCACGTATCTTTTCGCACTCCATCACATAGTGACGGAGGGTTGTGCGAATAATTTTGACACAGTTTACATTTAGTCAGGTCTACATCAGCAGATAATGAGATCGGTTACTTGTAACGGAGCCTAAGCCGAGCAGTAGTAACATCTAGAAGTCTGCTGATTTTATTGGATGATCTATAGATGTGTGGCTCCTCATGCATGATAGTATGATGATAGATGGAATTACTGGTGTTGATTTCACTTTGCCTCAGATCTACAAGATCTTGTTGAAGTTCTCGGTGTACTGTTGCTCTCAGATTGCTGATTGACAATCCAAGGTTATACTCAATATATATTTATATATAAATAAAGAGAGAGAGAGAGAATGAGAATGGTAGGTGGGGGAGGTTGCAGGGGTCATTAGTTAAGTCTGGAAGTCTACAGCGGGGAGAGTCTATGTTTACGCAAGGTTAGTCCGCGCGCCCGCACGCTCCACAAACACTGCCATTCTTCTCACTCACACACTCCCTCACTCCCTCCCTCTCACACGCACACACACACCCTAGAGATGGGAAGAAAGAAGGAATATGCGTACAGTACAACATACAAGATGCAGCTGGGGGTAATAGGCAAGGTGGACAAGGACAACCGCTTTATATTGAGAGAAAGATAGGACATAGGTGGATGCTGGAAAAGCAAGTCAAAGAAATGCAAGGAGAAATTCATATTCTGTACAGGCACAAGTGCTTAATAATTAGATTGCACCGAAGTTATGTAAGCTACCTCCTACAAAAATTTGGAAGGTCCAAGATTGTAAGGCAACAGGTACAAGGCTGGTAGGCGGGGGCAGTGGAGTAACTAAAGTATGACAGGCAGAGGCATCTTACCATCATAGTTGGCCCTGGGTAAAGCAATACACAATGCCCGTCCACTGAAGTGCAGAGAATGCATATTTGTGACGATGTGCATTGAATTTTGTAACTAGCTCAAGACTAACTTTCCCAACTAAATTTTGTTATATCGAACAAAGATTAGGGAAAGGATTAGGGTCCATTAAAAACTGAGACAGGTCAGATTACCAATAATGACGAAGAAATGAATAGTATTTTAAATATTTTATCTCTGTATTTACTAAAGAGGAGCTTAACATTATGCCTTCAGCCGAACAAGTCTCTGTTGGTGGGGGAAGAGGACAGGTTGATTAGTTTAACAGTTACCAAGGAGAATATTAAAAAATGTTTCCCCTTACATGGGAGTGTACCTAATAACATCCTAAGTTGACCATTAACTTCAGTTCTATATTGACATTACTCAAGATGCCAGTAAGAGCACAAAGAAAAGATCCTTTTGCATGTGACTTTAATGGTGCTACAGTTCTACAATGGCTCCACATAATTATTTATTCAAAGCTGAACCTTTACATACTGCAAGAAAAATACTGAAGTCAAATTACTAGATACTGAAAATTACAAAAACAAAAATAACTGCATTTGTGAGATTGCGAGTGAAAAACACTGGTTATTTCTTCATCTTCAATAGTGCACATAATTGAAATAGAAACAACAGTTACAGGGACTAAGAGGTACTCATGCAGTTAACTGAAGACAAGTTCATACCAATTTAACTAAACCAAAATCTAGCAAGTCTTGAAATTGCAGTTGCTTTCTCAGATATCCAGAAGGGTTAGAGCTAATCCTGCTGTCACACAAGCACACAGGTAAATATGCATGTACCATTTTTAGGAGGACTTGAATCATACCAACTCAAAGGCATAATGACACTGAACCAAACAAAATTTCAAACAGCTTCAATAGGTAACTTCTGCGACCAATACCACATGAGTCCGAGATGACATTTTGACAGCAGGTTTCTTTGTACAAAGCCACTCCTCATGCTCAAACAGAAACAAAGAATTTGCTTTCAAGTATTAGTAGCCTATATTTCCCAAAACATGTAACAAAACTATTCTTAACGTAGATTAATTGAGACTGTTGAACCATGAAGGAAAGTAGAGATGCCTGCATGTTGTTCACTTTGGAGGATAACCAAAGTGGATTAACTGGAGATTCTGAATAATTAAATTAAATTCAAAGTACGATGCTACAAGGGGGAATTCAGACATACACAACAAATTTCATCTTTATTTGAAAGTTACAGCAACAACCAATATCTAGTTTATTTGTAACAGTTTACTACCATATAAACAGTCATAACACTCAAACAGCTTATCATTTCCATATTACTGTAATTGCCATACTCTTCAAATACATTTTTTACATTACAAAAGTTACTTTTTATGGAGGAAAATAAAATTCTAACACCAAATCATACACGTACAAATCTTTGGCACATACGGTACTTTTGTTTTTTATTATGATCTTGAGCATATAAGTTTCAACTGTCCTACAACAAAAACTTTTGGTATAATGGAAACCTCTCTGAAAGCCAGATTTTCTTAAGACACTTAAGCACCTTAATATTTTTTGCCGATGCAAATACAGTTCAACTTAATCAGTTAAACAATACACTGCCAGTGTTCTAGCATAGCTCACTTAAAACTTAAACAGTGTAAATACAAATATAATTAAAACTTACATCTAAGTTCCAATAAAATCATAAAAATACTATAAAACAATCGATGATTAATATAATAAGACAATCCTGCTTTATTACAATATTTAATAAGCTTACATACAAAAATTCTATTAATTGTTTAATTTCCCACAGCAAAGTAAATTCCACGACAAAATGCTAACACAGAAAATAAATTGAATTTACTTGACTAAAGCCATTTCTTAATCGTGAACTCACTACACACAGAAATCACAATAGTGTGATGCATCAAATTAACAAATTCGCAAGGGCCGTGACGGGGATTCGAACCTACGTCCGAGAGCATCCCAGATGCTGCCTTAATCGTCGTAGCTCAGTCGATAAAGGCAGCACCTACGATGCTCTCGGATGTAGGTTCAAATCCTCGTTACGGCCCTTGCGAATTTGTTAATATGATGCATCACACTATTATGATTTGTGTGTGTAATGAAGTAAGGGCGAAGAGGTAGAACGGCCTATCGACATAGCTCGAGTGCATGGGGGAATTGTGTAAAATCCTGGTTTGTGTCTCAGAGAGGCTGCAGGATCCAAGTAAGTTCAGTAGAACTTCTGGTTACAATTCTTTTGACCATGTCGTAGCTCAGTCGATTAAGGCAGCGTCTGGGATGCTCTCGGACGTAGGTTCGAATCCTCGTCACGGCCCTTGTGGATTTGTTCATTAGTGAACTCATCTTAACATTTAATAATTGACTTCTTTGAGGTAACATTAAGCCATTTTGAAATGGGCTTGTCTTATTTATTAGATGAGCACCACAATGCATCATTATAGAAATAGTAATTTTCCCAGAAGGCATCAAGCCATTACGACTATATAGCACTTGGAATGGACATAAGGATAAGGATTTAGGAGAGGAAAGATTAGGTTAGGTAGACAAGATCATTTTTTTTATACCAAATGTGCAAGTACCCTACTAGGGCCAGCCATTGGCTTTACACTTCAAATGAAAAATTTGGGGATTAAATACATATAAACATTACATAATACTGTATAGTCATTTTTAGGTTAATAATTTTGTTAAGTGGATGCTTGAACACCTGCTTATATTTGTATTACACGCATGCATGCTTTATAATCATCCAAGTCACCAACATCAAAATTTAATTTAAGTTTGCATGGTCAAACATTGCCTTTCCACAAGTGTCTGTTGGTCAAATAATATATCTTCATGGCTGAACAGCAAGATCTTTATCTTGCATTATTACTTTTGCATGTCAATACAAAATTGAACCTGCATTAGTAACATTAGCTGCAAAATATCAATATATTCTAGTTTATCACTTCAGTCCAGCCGAAGTAAATACCTTAACCTATACCACGCTGCAAGCACCACGAAGGAAAAAAAAAGGGGGGGTGACAAGGATATCTGGACATGTTTCAGTGTGACACTGTTAGAAAAGGTAAGGGGGAGGGGTGGGGGAAGTAGGTACCATTTACATGGATTGAAAAAAGGAAGCGAGTTAAATTGTATTGTATAATTATTTGAGAAATAAAGTATTGGAAAATAATGATTTTTATTAAAAATAGTACCATAAAAAATGGTACTAAAATGAATTTAAGAGTAACAGGAAGATGGAGAAAGCACATGTGTCATAAAATGGTTAACAAGATGGGTAATGCACATTGGTGAGAACACAATACTAGTTTGTACAAATTGGTGCTAATTTGGGATATCCCCAGTTCCAGTTCACAGCACATTACAAGAACTGTAAGGCAACAGTAAACAACTATAATTAATAAAAATGATTAGTTATTTTAAAATCATGTAAAGAAAGAAAAGTGGGAAATCATCAGATCACTCCTGTAGTAGTACAGTATATGGAAAGAACATGTCAGGTGCACATACATGCACGGACAGATAAGAGGAAGTTAGGTTTTGTGTGGGTAGTTAAACCAATTGACTTTAACGTTAACACTAGTAAGAATCTAAGGTCATATTCCACACCATATTTGTAACACAGAACAAAACAAATACTTGTTCAGTAATCTAACGTGCAGCATCGTAGCCAGGAAAAAGTGTTTTAAGACAACTACCAAGGGACTTGTTGATTTCCATACTGTAGTCTTTACCCAGATCATATCTGCAAGCTGGACATGTAAAAACATCAGCTTTGAAAGATCGTTGCAAGCATGGTTGACATACATTGTGCTTACACTCTGTGGTGACTGGCTTGATGACTAGTTCTTGACAGCACACGCAAGAGAACCTTTCCTCAACACCATTCAAGAATTGCTGCAAAAACCACCAAAAGTTTTAGTCTCAATATTAGTTATACAGAAAAAGAATAAATTGTATTTTACTATATCTACAGAGCCTTAAAATCTGACTTACAACATGTGATATAGATTGCTACTACACAAGTGGGGACAAGAAGTGGGGAGGGAGACGTGAATGTTTTTTTTCCAAAGCTATGAATGACAACAAAGTAGTAGTACTTACAGTGCGACCTTCCGCAAGCAGCGATTTACATTCTTCCCAAACTTTGCTGTTTCTCAAGTCCTCTTTAATCAGGTTTTGCACTTTATTTTCAAGAGTATAACCAATACCTTTCCTTTTCTTGGTTTCAGAAGCCCCAGTTCCCTGTGAACAAAGCTCAATAAGTGATTGGGCACACTTATAATCTGTAAACACACAACCATATTCAGGTATGCCATGTACATTATTTGCTGGCATATAAGACAATTAAATGTATGTTAACACTCTCACTGTCCGGCACAGCATCACATCTACTAATCAAGTTAAATTAACCTGTAAACATTCAGATTTACTTACTTCATTGCTAAAATCTTGGCTGTTCTTCCTCTTGTTAGATTTGCCTTTCTTCTTTTTGTTTTCCTCCTCTTGATCTGACTCATTGTCTTCATCAGCTGTTCTTTCTTCTTTCTCTCTTTGTGCCTCCAGGTAACCATCAGGATACTAAAATATGAAAGATATCATATAAAATACATGTTTAGGCTTCTCCTATCTTGATTATAATTTCTGGAGTAGATATACAACAGCCATCAAGCAAAGATATGGCAAGGTTGGGCTCAACTATATTGTTTGGAGTACGTACACACACACACACACACAGGATACACCCAGAAATCCAATTCATTAAACACTCACAGCCTTCCCCATGCACTCATTGATGCTCACAGACTCCCTACCTACTAGCTCACTACAGTTGACTTTCATCAGGTGGCAGCATCATCACAACAGTCATTTTGACCCAGTATTATCCCTGACAACATAAGATAAGGTACAAGGGAAGGAATGACAAAAAAATCAAGTGTAATTGTATACTAAATTCACTCAGAAAAGTGAATTTCATGTATGATTAGACCTAAGCTGCTTAGTATGTTTCCAAAATGCTGCAAACAAAGAAGTGATGGAGGCATCAGCAATTGGACATTTTGGGAACACAGAGTTAGGCCAGAACATACTGGAGATGAAAAGAATACCTGAAGTGTAACAAACTTTTGCATGGCCCTAGGAACATAAATAAAATGGAGACAACTCAATTTAACCAGTCTGTGAAACAGTGGTTTCATAGAATGTTACAATGCAACACAAACTTCGACCAAAACATCTAATTCAGTGGCTGAAATTACACCTTTGTCGCAGCCAACATACACCTACTGGCTCTGGATCTTATCAAGGAAAGTAAAAATGGAGAAAGCCTGAAAACTGACCAACCCTGCCATTTCATGAAGAGACATTACCATTAGAACTGTAATGCTATAAAATAAACTGAATTAGGAATGTTATTTAATTATAACAATATAATACCTAGATGCATATACTCAGAGTACAAACCTGCATTTCCAATCCTAATTCCTTGATTCTCTTCTTGCCTTCCTCTGTCCATGGTGCAGATGTGGGATCATCACGACGCAACAGGTACCTCCACACCTTGAAGCCACTTTTACCCTTATCTTGCCAGTATTTTACAATTTTGTAAATGCCATCATACCTAAAAGTTAAGCAAATTAAAAAGAATATTTAATTTTTTATTTATATTATCACCAATACTGTACTGCAGAGGAATGAGACAAAAACAATGGCTTTCCAGCCCAGTCTTATCGCCATGTACCATTTTAATCAACTTGCTAAAGTCCAAAGCTATGAATGACAACATACACCTTTACTTTGAGTTCACTAAGAATTGTGTAAATAACCATGGAAACAATGCTGCAAGCATTGCAACAATTGATGCAAGTGTTCAAGACAAAGAATACTGCTAAACATTAATAAAAGGCATTCTGTATGTCTAAATAGGAAAATCAATACGGTGGACAACTTTGAAGTGGCTCCAAGAATCAATGCTTCTGCAGCCTGGCTTCTGAACAAGTCTATTATTTAAATTGGAAAGAGGCAGGACCAGACAGCATTGGTGGAAGCTAGATATGCAATGAAGTCGTAGAGATGTATGGAAATTTTCATAGAATGTATGCATGATTTGCAAGTGGAATGCATTAAATGTAGAAGTCACTTCCATTCATAAACTGCAGAAAATGATGAAACAGGATCTGAACAATAATAGAGGTAATAATCTTGGCTGACATAAAAGGCTAGAAGGTGGGTCGTTAGACCTAGATCAGTTCCTCATAGTCACTGACAGGTAGACACTAATTATTAAGTACTCATTTGCTACCTTTCCTTCAGGAAATTCTACTTTGTTTTCTCCCTCATCTGCCCCTCTTCCTCAACTTATGGTTTAACTAAGAAGGGTTGACTGCAGGGTTTTTATCATATGTTATGGATCTTACCTGTTGCCTTCCTCTGGTGCATATTTTGAATGCTTACGACCTTTTGAATTTCTAATCACACGCACAGGCTTGCCACCTTTCCAGTCTTTAGCTTCTGCCCCATTTTTGTTTACAGGAGTATTGCAATTTAAAGCAAGGGCTCTGGAACACAAAGACAAAATATACTATTAACCAGAAGTAAAATATACATAAAAACTGATAAAGATAAATAACATTCATTGTTTTGATATTTTTGTAATTAACTGAGAAGTAAAGGGGTTCCCCCATCTCCTATTTATGATTCTTTGGCTACTTTCCATATTACAACACCCACTTTCTCCCACTACAGTATGATAAAGTATTCACAATATTATTATATACATACATACATATTTTTATATTTATAATATATATATAACTGGATAAGGTTCATTTGCACGAGAGCATTTGAGAAATGTAGTCTCTGGGACAGCATATTTCCTGATACACTGGGCTTAAGTGAATTCATTAAAAAAAAACTAGATAGCTTCCTACAGGAAGTTCTGGTTGTTTCTACCACTCTCAGGTTGTAATGAATATGTGGACCTGCGGGCCGCTCCAGGCGACAACCTGTTGGACCAAGTTATCAGTCAAGCCTGGTACAGACTGGGCTTGAAAAAGTATAAAACAGTTAGAACCCACTCGCAGACATACTCCAGGCTTCATTAGCTCAGACTGGTGTTAGTAACAGTCCTATGCTTGCCTATCAGTGTCTATGGTTAGAAAATAAGTATTTTTTTTATCTTAAATTTTACTTTACATACCCTGTACTTGCCTCTTATTCTATATCAAAAAAATTAACTGAACTTGCTACTCCCATATTCCAGCAATTACATCCTCTTCTTCTACCAGTTTGACAATCCTAACTGAAACTTGTATACATCACACATAACCAAGGTTCACTTTTTAAGTTTGGCCCAAATTTTTTTATCTTATTTTGTTTTTACGCTTATACTATCTACATTTCTACTTTGATTCTTTCACTTTTTCAATTTTCAAGGTACCATCGTCTTTTAATCAATCTTTCCTTAGAAAGCACTACCATATAATTAGATAAACCTTCAGTTAATGCACAAATAATCTTAACATGCTACTCTCCACAAGCACAGTCATTTAGATCATTTTTCTATTGCTTCATCACTCACCCTGTACCATGCATTTTAATGCATAAAATATTTCCAAGTAAAACACCTTTCATTGCCTAAATATTTCCAAGCTAAAGACAACATTTATAACCATCACAAAAACAGTAACTTATTGGCACTCTACCAATCCGAATCCCTAAACTTCTTGAAAATATCCCTCTTTTCTGACATCACAATCACCATCTTGATTCTATCAAACTTGAATATGCCCTTGAACCAACTAAAATACTGAATAAAGCATGTGCAATATTTACATAAAAAGGCACCCAAGCTAATTCGCTACACAAACTGTCCATAATGAAGGTATGACAAACGTGCTAAATAGTACTTCTTAACCTCTCTGCCTTTACCTGTTCATTCTAGTCAGTTGCTGGTCACAGGATTGCTCAGCAGTCCTTTTATTGCCAGAGAGGTCCCTGCCTCCTGAGCCAGTGTAAGTGAAGGAGTCCCCATTATCTTCATCATCTTCGTAGCCACCGGACAGTACGATGCTGTAGGCACCTTCATTTTCACGTCCATGGATTCCAGCAACATGCGGACGATGTATACCAGCTTCTGAAGCCTAAATATAATTCACTGTAATAAAGAAGGCCAACAGCTTTGCAGACAAGGTAACTTTACCCTGTTTTGAACGCTTGCTACTCTTTAAGTCATCTTAGTATTGATATAAATACTGTACCCTTATTATAGTAACAAATGCAGAATTTTCTGCATGGACAGCCCTGCCAGTAACATATTAGCATCACAAACTACAATCAGAAATTTTTAACCAAATATCTTCAGTTTGCGAACAGTAGGTAGTAAATATGGGCAAGTGTAACCTTTCCACAGCTACCCACTGGATGGGGAGTTGGGAGATTACATGTATAATAAGCAAATCAAATGATAAAATTTCCTCGCTACATATGCAAGTTGCTTAGCTTAGAGGCTGTACTTGTGATCATTCTCAAACCCATTATTGCTATAATAATTCAATAAACTGTGTAACCAGCTTATCAAGACTGACAAAATTAGTTAAATGAATTTTGGGGTTTAGTCCCAGATACTATTATATGCCTCTGTAACTACTATATTCCCACTACCGCACACAGGGTGGGTATGAGGTCCACTACCACTCACAGGATGGGTAGGGGATGAATAATAACAAACTAAACTTCCTTATACATCGCTTGTGACTAAACCAGCAGAAGTGTTATATATATATATTATGTATATAATTATAATGGATCAAAAGACCATAGATAAATGAATATAAGAAATATTAATGATAATTATAAATGTTACCAATATTACCTGTAATCGAAATTTCCACAAAGTTCCCACTTCAACACCAGGCACGGGTCCAAAATGGTTTTGTGGAACAATGGTGCAGATCTTCTGTCGCCCAGCACAAGCAAAGCCTTTCCCCCAGTCTCGTGATGTGTTGCCCTTTGATGAAGCCATTTTTGCCTTTTTCTTGCTCTCCTTCAGTTTCTCACCAGCTTTGACTATTTCACTATCATCATTTTTACACAAAGGACAGAACCTGGGAATATACATTTCACTATTATTTGGAGAATAAATCACAATAATATGGCTGTAAATATTTAATCCAACTCTCACATGAAAAGGGAAAGCAATAATGTTTTGATTCATCCTGGACTTCAAAATAATTCACTATTAACTTCATTATCCTAATCATTACCCAATTCCTCACTTTAATATTAACAATGAATTAAATTTTATTTGTAAAATCAATCAGTACAATATATCTATTTCTTGACATTTGAACACAGAATTTTCCTTTACAAGTGCGGAGACTAATGTAATTGTTGCCAGGTATCAGTTGATAAAATCGTTAACTAAAATGAACACCTAAATATATGCTAAAGAATTAAACACGCTTGTTGTACTACGAAAGAAGAATCAAAGAATGCAGGCAGTTTAAGTAGAATAAAGTAGCCAGTGAAAAAATAAATATATAGAGAAACAAAGTAAAATAATAGCATTTATTTAAGAACAATGTTTACATTCGAGTGTCTACAGAGAATGAGATTTGGCTTTTTGGGCCACGCCTCCTAGCCATTTATACCAAGTGTTAAATTTTGTTTGAACTTCTTTTTTTTTTTTTTTTTTTTTTTTACATTTACTTTTGAAGATGTGAATGAATTGGTTACTTCTACTAATATAGTGCATTCCACTTTTTTTACCAGTCTCACTAAGAACAAGTATTTATTATTATTCCTCTCTCTGACTCATTTTTATATCCAGATTCAACTTATGTCCCCATTGTCTCAGTTCCATCAAATTAAAGAGATTGTCTTTGTCCATCTTATCTATTTTTCTCAGTATTTTGTAAAGTGATCATATTCCCTCTGGCCCATCTCTTCAATAGTTTAAATTTTGATCCCTTCACCTGTCTGCATACCTTAAACTTCTTAGTGCAGGCACCAGCCTTGTTGCACGTAGCACTACGTGCACTCTGAATTTGGCTTTCTCCCCCAAAAGCACGTAGTCTCACATTGGAACATGGCATCCATTCTCTAAAATGCTCAGCACTTTAATATTAGGCACCCAGCAAGTTAACTTTTCTTTAGAGTTAGGTGGATATAATTTAACATGCATTTTTGTTTATTATTTTATGTAATAAAAATTTTGTACTCTACAGCTTAAGATTTCCTGTTACAAGTTTGCAAAATATTTAGGGTATTGACATGCCTTTTGTTTATTGGTAGATAAATAGTTATTTTTATTCTAATGTGTACCTGTTAACTGAAATAGGCTCAGAAATATGAAGTTACTAAACTTTGAGAAATACTGCTGCTCTCACCAGCTACAGTATTTAATTTAGAACAATTCATTGCAACAAATAAAATATATATATTTTTTTTAACTTGCCATTCATCCACATCAGGTATGCTTTCCATCGGTGGTGTGAGACAATATATATGGAATGGCATATCACATTCATCACACATGAGCTGCTTCTCCGGATTCTCCTTCCCACCACATTCATTGCACCCACAGTCCTTACACTTGCGTCTTGGGTTGTCCTTACACGTTGAACAATTGGGAGCATTTTTTCCTGATGAAATATTCATAAATAAAAATGTGAATCATTACACTGGCCTACATATCTTGTATTATACACCATGGTGTTTTAAGACCTAATACAACAATAACTAAGCACCCCAATACATTTAATTGTCCAAGTGTATCAAGTTTCAAGTCAATAAACTGAATCTTGAGCAAACTTAAGTATTTTTAGATTCAAGTTACTGAAATATGATGAGGTGTTGGAGATACTGACCAGAAACTTAGAAGAAAATAAAATGCAAATTCATTAAGATTTTCTACTATGGTCACTAATTTTGGTACAGGTGTAGCCAAGGAACACAAGTGTGCATGTGGTAGAGGACATCTAACTAAGGAACAACAGGTGTGTATATAGTGGTACAGTTGTAACCGAGGCATATCACTGGACAAAGCTTACTTTTAGAAGGGGACCCTTCAACAACAATCCTTTTCATTTCTTCATTTCGTTGGCGCAACTTAATATTTTTTTCAACAGCAAACAGCTCATTTACAAGATGTATGTGACAGTCATCTAGAGTAGAATCGGATCCAATATAGACTGTAACAACTAATTCCTTTTGCGTTCTTGTGCTGATAATCTTCTTGACCTGACCAGAAAAATAATAATTTAGTGAGCAATTTTCTGCCTATTGCAGAACTGGAGTATAATGTGAGTTAGAGATAACCAAAAAGATTATTCAAGAGAAAAATTATTATTAAAGTTTACTGTCAAGTTGGATAGAACTGGTGGCAATGAATCGGTAAAAAATTATCATAAAATGAAAACGTCAAGAGTTAGACGAGAACTCTTATAAGTGGTTCATGCAGCAACACCATGTCAGCGTTTTGTATGTTATACAGTACTATGATATTGTAATGCACACCTACACAGGTTAACAAGAATTTACTTACTCATCATCAAAGTAAAAATAATTTTTTTTTTTTAATTTTGATCCTCTTTGACCTTTCAATACATAGAGTCCCTTCCAACTTAAAAATGGTATGCAACTTGGAACCAGGTTTCCCATATGTTATAAAATAAGGGATGCAAACCAGATCATCAAAAATCAACATATAAAATCCAAGTTTTGGGGATAAAGCTAAATTGGTACTCTACTTTATTTACTGTGAATGGTGGAGTTTTCCCTGGTTGACAAACTTTTTATTTTTTGAAGAGTAAAGATATTTAGTTATTAGTGGAAGCTACAGCAGAAGTAATGATGCATGAGCAGCAGAAATTGGTAGATGGCAGGGTTAGATATTAGTGGGTCATCTCCATCCTTTTCAGTGGCTGCTGTAGATTGTGGGCCACTTTTTCTGGAGAAACATTTACAAATAAGTTTGCACAATCATTACCTTTCAGGTTGCAGGTAAGATGCGAGGTCCCCTAATACAACTTATGACATGTTGAAATATCTTTCAGCACTGGGGGTCTGCTTGTGCCATTTGTGAGAGATTTCTCATCCACCACTCTGGAATTGGCTCATCCAAAACATTTGCTTCCTCCATTTCAATAAAGGTCCTCACAATTGAGAGCTCCTTTGAATGTAAATACAACAACACTTAAACAATTTCCTCCTCCAACTCAATGTCTAGCTGCTTAGCCATTTCAACAATTATTTTTGATTACCTTTAACTATTCCTCAAATCTTTCTTTGGAGTTCCTGGAGAAACAACTAATGTGGCCACCTTTTGATTAGCTCCCAGGAGGGAGCAACATCCGGGCTATTAAGATAAACACTCCGAGCAACATAAATCTAAATTACAGAGTTCTATTTACAGAAAATGTATTGTACTCACTTTACAGTCAAACCAATGTCCTCTTTTCTCAGGGTCTTCAATGTTGTAGTTGGCCATGATGATATCTCCAGGATTTACATCATTAAAACTTATCTTCTTGTGAGCACGGGGTCGGATGTTCTTTAGCAACTGCTCCGAGGGCTCATCACTCTCATTTCTAGGTAGATAAATAATCAATTAGACCTACCAGTCTACCACTGGATTCATTTGCCATCATAAAATATATTTTGCTTTAGCACTAGCAGTCTCATGTAAGTAAAGGTATTTTCAGATAACAGTGCTATAGGGAACATGGCACCCTTGCAGGACTGTCTTCTAGGCATTTTGGAATCAGAGGCAAGTTACTCAGAATCACCTTAAACTCACAAATTGCCAGCCAGATTAAACAACCCTACATTATAAACAGAAACAACCAATGGCACATTCCATTTAGAATGTTTTATAATATGATGATGATGCATATGAAATCAACTTCAATGGATTTAGAACAATAATGATGATTGTTTAAAAGTTTAAATTACAATATTTGCATACAAGACTCTAAAACTATAAGAAATGTATATCCACAACTGACAAAAAAAAAATCAGATAACGCTGCTCATTTTTTGTTGTTTGATCAAATGACTGCTCTAACAAGATTTCATAATCCGACAAAGTCAACAACAGTAAGTACTTACCCTTCATAAACAACATGGTAGAGGAAACCATCATCATCACTAGACGTCTGTTTCGTTTCTGGGTTAGATGTTATCTTGACAATTTTTCCTTCCCACCATGTTCCATCATAGAGATATTTTCCATCTATCAGTTCTCCAACTCTGTAGTATTCACTTTCTTCTTCTATTATACTAATCTTGCTCTTCTCATTATTGTTCTGTAAAGAAATGATGAACAATAACAAATTATTAATCTATGTTAAATACACACACAGTAGATATAATAGGAATATAGGTTCAACATTTATCTTCATCTTCAATTCACTCGAGCCATGGTGATCCAGAAACAATACAGTACACTGTACTCAATTAAATAAAAAACTAGTCAAATTTTTTTTGTACGAAGCTAGACACAGGAGCATACAACTAACAGGCTTTGAGTGTTGCCGTTAGCCTTATGCTACTGGTTTATCCTGGAATACGACCTCCCTATCTGTTTACAACCAGGTCCTATTATTCCCAAGGATTTTGAACTGGAATACTATCTTTACACCTACGACTTTGGGGGGTAGGCAATTCCATGAGTTTATTATCCTATAGGAGAAAGAACATCTATTTTCTATCCTATATTGTGACTTGAGCTTGAAGCTGTTGCTCCTTGTGAGACATACAATGAATCTTTTAAAAATGCAGTTTGGATTAATATTTGCTAATTAGTTCAGTTTTTAAGGTCTTAATGAGTTCAGCTCTCATGTCTGGTTTACATGTCTCTGCATTTAACTTTTTCAAAGTAAATTTATTCTTATAGAAGTTGAAGTCTTCATGCTTGGATACAAAAGTCCAGACCACTTTCTTTTCCTTAGTCAAAGGCTCTCGTTTTTTTACCACAGGTTCTACTTACCGCAGAACTTTCAACAACTGGTAAATCATAACTACCAGGTCCTTTCAATTTTCAATCTGCTGTATGGTCTTTTTGTCGACATGGTCATCAAGATTTTTATCATTAAACCCTGCCTACAAGGTCTTGCATTTTCAATATGGAAGAGATTTTGCCAGTCTTTTGACCATTTATGGAGATTATGTAGATTGATTTGAAAGGCATCAATCTTTGTTTTCACTTGTGTATTTACTATAGATCTTTGTGTTATCTGCAAATTTGATGGTGTGGTTTAGGATTTTCTCCTGCCATTTATGTACAAGACCCCAAGATGGAAACTTGCAAGTTCCCTCACATTTTCCTGTCAGATTTATTTCTATTTAAGATGACTATTCATTCTAGTAATTTGCATTTTTTCTATATGGTTATAATTTCCGTGAGTCTTATGTGTTATCTTATCCAAAGCTTTATATAATTGCAAGTGAATGCTTTCTTTTTATATATAGATAGGTACAGAACAGACTACTTCCAACTTCTGTTAGCAGGCCAAGAGCTTTCCCTTCCCATACCTCATGATAATTCTTACCCTACTAGTTTCCCTAGAATATGACCCACCAATCAATTTAACCACCAGGTACCTAATTACTGCTGGGTGAACAGAGGCAAACAGTTAAGAATAGGTGCCTAGTCAATTCGCCATGGCCATGTTAAGAACCTAGAAAGGTTTGCTCTTAAAGTGTGGGGAAAGTGTGTTATGACTGCACCATCAGTGATTAAACTTCTCCATGTGAAGTGCTCTTGCAACAACCATCACCCCCCCAACTAACGGGGGGGTGATGGTTGTTGTCATGATGGTTATTGTCTTCGTGATGGTTATGAATGTCTTCACAACATCTTCATATGGATGTTAGCTTACAAGGTTATGAATGTCTTCACAACATCTTCATATGGATGTTAGCTTACAAGGTTATGAATGTCTTCATAACCAGGCATTCTTTTCATTTTCATCTTCCATTGAAAAAATTACTATCACTTAAATTACTCAAGGTATTTAAATTCATCAGGAGTTTAAATAAGGAGTGTCCAGTACTTTTCCATCCACCTTTATTTCACACGGCTCGCCATAATGAATCATGTATACAAATTGGCTTAAATGATCATTACCAAGCCAAAAACAATAAACCTAATTACCTGTACATTTTCTTTATCTGCCTTAGAGCTGGTCTCTCTCTTCACACTGGGCTTATTTGAAGTGTTTGGATTAGTTTCTGTAAGCACTGGCTTAACCATCAGCTGAATTACATCGTTGATGTTAATATTGTAGTCAAACATGCTGTAGCCATTTTCCATCTGTTATGGAGAAAAGAATATTAATAAATTCATATACATAATATTTATTGAAAATAACTAAAAGTTACATGCAACCAAAGACAGAGAGGGTCCAGGACTGCTTACAACCAGTGTTAGTATGATCTGTACTAAAGTACAGATCAGAATTATTGAGAGTACAGCTATCATATGGGCTCTGCACACCTGATAGAATACTTTCATACTTATTGGTCAATAGTTTCAGAGCTATACCAATATGTAGGATTTAAATTTTTTAAAAATATTTTAATGCCTAAATTTATTTTTGCATAGATGTACAGTATAACAATATTTGTAAAATAACACAAAGATTTATAATTTAAATTTTAATTTTTTTTATATTTTAATGTAATGTTATTACAGTATTCTAAACAGAATATCTTAAATAGGTATCAGTAATATCAAAACTTACACTCCTTGAATACCTCATATTAAAAACTAAAACTTTACACGTTATGTTGACTGACAAATTCTTGGGCTGGACAAGATACTTGGCAAGATTCCCAGCAGTAAATAGGTACCCAGGAGTAAGACAACTGTTATGGGGCGCATCCTCAGGAAGGTTCTGCAGGTCACTGGCAAACCTAACATGCTTTCTGTCCTCAACAATGGGAAGCCTAAACCTAAATCAATTGCACTGTACTTTTATTATTACCAATTTCCAAAAGAAAAATATGAATGTTAGCTTACAAGGATAATTCTTGCATGAAACCACATAGATACAAAATTCGGTGTTTAGATCTGGCTATAAGGGGCACCAAGGCTGTCTCTGTATTTAACCTAGGGTCAATTTTGAATTCTACTCTTCACCTGCTTGCCGCTGCAAACACTTGACCTACTTGCCACAGTAAACACCTCACCTGCTTGCCACGGTAGAACAAACGCTGCCTGTCGGCCGCCACCTTCAACTTCTCCTCCACCATGGACCTGAAGTCCTCCACACTAGTCAGTTTGGATATGGTCACGACAGCAGTCTGGCTGCCATCCATTGTTCTCACTTTAACATACATCTTGTCTCGCCGCTGCTCGTCAATAAAAAGAAATCAAACAACCAGTTAAAACCGTAAAATATCGAGAACGTATCACCCCGACTCCTGCTCTCAGCTCGAGACCGCAATGTGTTCCTGAATTTGGCGGGAAGAGCGTGTGTATCATGTCAACATTCCGGGCGGGCTATGAGCCTATCACATCTTTGTTGTGTTATTATGGATACAACCTTAACAAAAACATTGCTACCTAATTTATATCACATTATAAAAATCAGACAAAATACTTTAATTTGGTAGAATAGTATTAATTATTGAAACAGATCTATATATAAAATTTTGCATAGAGTACTATAGGTACAGAAGATAGATCGCACTCATATTGTTACCATTTTGGACACAACTAGTACGTTTCGTATACATATCATTGCTCAATATTAAAACCACAATATAATGTTATTAACATTTAGAAGCTTCTACTTAGTAGGCATATCGTTATTAAATGAAGTTGAGTAATGTGATGGACATAATCTGGGCTTCATAAGAACAATGTCAGCACTGTGGAGAAATGTCCGACAGACCACTGAAACATTATCTAACGCAGTGCACAGTTACAAACCCATCATAGGACAAAATCTTACTGAAGCGACCATACGAGTCATAAATACTCATACTCCGCCCAAGTAAAACATAAACAAGCAACACTTAGTGGGCCAGCCAGAGGCTTAGGACCCGCGCAGGAATATCCCTGCCTGAACCGATTATGTGCCTCTGTAATCCTTTACACCACCGCCTACGGGATGGGTATGGGGTGCATAATAAAGAAAGAAATTAAATTGCAAACAAAAAACTACCGCAAGTTTAAACACTTCACATGTGAAGGCTACCATGATCGAACGCACAAAACACTAGACCGTGGCCAGCTTTTGGGTAGACTCCTATTACATTTACCGTGTGATAGTTATACTTATATATATTAATATGTATTAAGGGTAAGCGCCTAACATGTAATGTTAATTAATAAAAACAAGGACAGAAGCCACACGCCTGTCTCATCATGTCTTATGTGTTAAATTGGGCGCTCTTTTACTTGTGCGCTAGCTCACGTTCACAACTGATTGACTTAATCTAGTCCTTGAAGGTGAGATCAGTTGTTCAAGTTCAAGTATATTTATTGAGACACGAAAGATATATATCTCAAAAGGATAGAGTAGCTTAGGCTATTTCTACCCCCTCTACTTCAAGTCCCTCAAGGGGTGCACAAATTCAGTGAGTACAAATAGACAAATAACAGTACAAGAATCCCATTTAACATTGCAGGTTAATATAGTAAGCACAGCATATAAGTGTTACACTCTTGGGGCAAAATTCTTGTAGCTTCTAAGTATACTGTCTATCATACCATTATCACACATCCAAACAATTTGATGTGGTACATTACTTATTTCCTTATTTCTATAGTTATCAATAAGTTGACACTCTAATACATAATGTTCTAAGGTGTGGGCGTGCGGCATACTACATAAATTACACTCCTTTCTTTTTCACTGACATCAACACCGTATTGCCAGATATATTTGTATCCTAATCTTAATCTCATGTAAATTGAATCCTTCCAAGTAGACTTTCCTCTACCATAGGTGAAGGACGAGTTTGTATTTATTATTGAATAATTCTTAAGTGTGTTACTACTGTCCACCATTGCCATTCTCTTTACCATTTCTTCACCCTCTTGGATCATTTTGATTCTTGTTTTTATTTGTTTCAAGGTTATCTGACATACAACATCAACAAGAGTTTTTTCCGTGGCTCTCTTCGCTATCTCATCAACTACCTCATTCAACAGTATTCCCACATGTGAAGGGAGCCACATGAATCTTATTTTATACCCAGTTTTTTCTAATTTCTTAACATTAACACATTCTAATGTTACATTGTAACACCCAGATCAGAAGATACTTAGAAAAATGGTATACTATTTTACAAAATCCACTATGAGCTCTTTTTAATGGCAGAATTTAGCCATTTTGCGTAACAACTTTTATGTCTCATATTTGTTATTATCATAATAAACGAAAAAATTATATTTTGGATATACAAGGAATGAAACAGAAAGTCATGAGCTAGATCTGTGTACTGAACACTCTGATGAGGCGGAGCGTTTATCAAATACCTTCCTGTGATTGGCAGTTGCAGGGAATGCCAATATTCTTTTCTATGAATGAAATGGAAATTTAGACATACGCCTTTTTGCACAACAACCATCTTACTGAATAATATAGTTCAATAAGAGGGCGGAGCATTGTATCATCGATATTATTTGTAAGGCAACCCCCCACTGATGACGTCACAAGTTAGGTAGCCAGGCCATTTTTTTTAATAACAAATGTTATATCCTGCAATATTTAATTATCACTTTATTATTACTTTTAAATAATTAGCAATTTACGTTTAAGTAGATTAAAGTTGAAGCAGAATATCATAAGCAGGGCTAGTGTGCTGAACAAATATGATTTATTAAGTGGATGGAGCCTGTAGCTGATCCCTTCCTATGATTGGCTGTTGTGGTGAATGTCAACAAAGAATTTCTGCCAATGACATGGAAGCTCAGAAATTCTTACTTCAGCACAGCAACCCGCCTTATGGGCTGCTGTTCCGCTAGTGATAGTGCAATGTTCACGCAACAGATGGCGTTAGCTGTATTTTGAAGGATAACTGTTGATAGTATAATTTGATGTCAACAGATGGCATAAGCTGTATTTTATGGCTACTATTGAGGCTGTTGATAGTGTTATTTTCTGCCGATAGATGGCATCAGCTGTATTATTATTACTTTTTTCCGAATTCACTTGTCTACAAATCCGGTAGTTATTTAGGTAACTGGGGTTCTGCAATTACTTTCTTATTATCTACTGTTGAGGATATTATCACATAACGTCTGGTTAGGATGTACTGCTCTTTGTTGAGATGTGATGTATTTCCAAACAAATTAAACATCAGTCCGTAATATTATTAAAACTAATATTATGCATGTAATAAAATCATTTCACACTAAAAATACTTGGATATATTGAAATTTGGTAGTGAATTCAAATCTAGGAATCTCCTAAGACGAAGCTGTACTGTGTTCGCTTTAGTAAGGTGTACTGTATATAATTTTGTTTTCTCTTTTATACGTACAAAAGTTCTTACATTCTTGTACAGCCACTACCATGTATAGCGTTTCAGACAAGTCCTTATTCGTTTTTTTTTCACGGAATATGACCCGCCAAATCGTTTAACAACTACCCGTTCACTGCTTGGTGAATAGAGCTACAGTTAAGGATTGGCGCCTAGTCAATCCTCCCGGCCAGGATACAAACCCAGGCAAAAGAGCTCGCGAAGCGCTGGTTGAGTGCTTTACCACAGCGCTACTGGGACTGCACGGGAATAATAGTTAATAATAACTCATTGTGTAGGGGGGACAGGCAGCCAGAGTCTATATACATGTTAGGCTTATACCGAGGTCCCTCAAAGATCGAACTAGCTATAGAAGGAGGGAAATATCGGGAAAAAGCGCCAAGCCAATACGACTATATAGCACTGGGAAGGGTCAGGATAAGGTCACACGGGAGACATCTCCCGTCACGCAGGGTGCAGTCGCACCTCCACAGATCTCCAGTATCATCTATTGATACTGGAAATGGCTCAAAAGGGCCACCACTTATGGGCTATTCATGCCCAAGCCACCTTTTGGGTGGCTTAATCTTCTCTCTCTCTCTCAGGATAAGGATTTGGGATGGGACGGGCGAAAGGAATGGTGCCCAACCACTTGGACGGTCGGGGATTGAACGCCGACCTGCATGAAGCGAGACCGTCGCTCTACCGTCCAACCCAAGTCCTAGAGTAAGACTGGGTGCTGCCAGACCCGGCCCTAGGGTTGCTGGCGTCCCGGGCAGGCTGAACTTCGGAGGTCTTACAAGCACAATTTTCTGAGAATCTTTACACGGAGGACCAATTGTAAATGTAGGAATGGTTTATTGCAACATACAAGCTAAAGAAAACAGTTCGGAAACTAAGGAAAATTTCGGAAACTAAGGAAATAAAGCTGCTGAAAAAAAAAATATTAAAAAAGTTCACTCTAACTTGCATATTATTTGAAGACATGCGCATATTATTTGATAATGTGCCATCTATTTATTCATATTTTTAATATTTATTTCATATTTATTCATATTCTTCAATTATAAACTTCTATTGCCCTCGTTTTTGGTCCTTTTATTGTCTTGGAAGACGAGAACAGCAGCGAACACAAGCCAGCGCATATGTATATACGAAAGTGTTCATGTATTCAGAATTGTCAGTGAACAAACTGATTTTTTGTGTACCGAACCGACATTAGCTGAACCGGTTTATACGAAACGACCTGTTCCTTACTATGCGATCCATTGCTCAAAAGTTGTGAATACAAGAATTTCAATATATTAAAATTAAATTTGCGATATTTATATGATAAATAAAATTATATGTCTAATTTATATTACTTTATTATTCAAACACTGGCTAAGTTACTTACCATAAAAAATAAATTATATTGTTACCATGACAACGATGTAAACAACAGGGACACCTGACGAGGAGCGGACATCTGGACCTGCTGTATCTGGGCACCGCTGAGACACGTGATGCTATTTTACCCACTGGGTCTCGATACTGCCATTGAGCACTCCTCTTCAACGGTCTGGAGTGATACACCTGGCGCACTTATCTCCTTCGGTCACACGGAAATTAATAGTCTTCCATTTTCCGGTTGGATCTTCGGGCTGGGATCGAGACGGTGTCTGGTGCGGGCTTGGCCTAGAGTTGACGGGTCTTGGTGGGCTCCTGGTGTGCCCTTGGAGATCACTGGAAGACGTCTTGCGTTTTATCCGTTCAGCCGCGACTTTGTTCGACTACCACCTGACGCCTTATTGTCTAGGATCACTGGGTGTCCATAGTCTTCCTGCTGGTGTCCTGTGTCGGGTGGGGACCGTCGCTCACCTCACCGGGAGACTCTGCGGCTCACCAAACATCTGCTTAACTGTGCTTATTTAATAATAATAATAATAATTTGCCACAAGTTGCAGTAGATTTCCTGGGGCAGGCGACGAGTACAGAGGCGCGAGGCATGTGACGTGTGCTGCTCTTATTATCAGCAACAGTAGCAGGGACGGCTGTACATATTGTCATATCATGTTCAGGTACAGTAAACCTAATTGTAGAATAAATACTCTACAGAATTGTAACAGTACTGTATACAATAGTTGATAGTCATTTACGGATTAATATTATCTTCCAGAACGTTTAATGGACTGTGGGGGAAAACACAGGATGCACTGAGTGCCATATTAGAGAAGGATCAAGAACTTCAAGGAACATTTCATCATGAGGTAAGATTGTTTACTGTCAATATGTTGCATTATGAAAATTTTTATGCTCTAGATCAATACCTTGAACAAGTTTAACATTCATCGCTGAATTGGAGTGATTTACGCTCCAATGGGCCACTGGGGCCACAGATTGAGTTTTATAAATGTCGTCGTGGTTACCTTAACTGGACTCACGCCATCTATAGTGTCAGCCCATCCTCCTAAAATGATAGTACTGATAACTATTTGGCCAAACGTACCAACATGTACTGTTGGACCCCCCAAAGTCACATTTTTGTACTGTTAATTTTGTAAAGGCCAAAAATCTAAAACTCATACTTAAACATTACTTGGCATAGTATAACACAAGTTAGGTTAGGTTCTTTAGGTGCGTTTCCAGATTTATATAATGCCATTAATTTGGGCTAATCAATAATACAAAACTTGAACTTTTTTGTTTGGTCTAACAGTACACATTGATGCATTTCACCAAATGGGTGCTAAGTACTGTCATTTTAGGAGGACGGGTTGCGATATTAATGTGGCTGATTGTTTTTTATGATGTGACTGAGATCAATCGTATTAATTTTTGTAGTGTTCAATTTTAGTTAGTTGCACGTCCGTACGGTGTTGTCTTGCATTGGGTTGTACTATGTTGTAATGGATTGTATTGTGGTACACCGTGTTATAGCTGGTTATAGTGTTAACATGAGTTGCGTTGTGTTATATTGCATTGTACTGTATTGATACTGTGTGTTAAATAGTTAGCTATATTACTGTGTTAGTTGTATTGGTATTATAGCTTGTATGTTAGACTGTATTGGTATTATAGCCTGTATTATTAGACTGTATTGGTATTATAGCTTTTATGTTAGACTGTATTGGTATTATAGCTTGAATGTTAAGACTGTATTGGTATAATAGTTTGTTAGACTGTATTGTATTATACTGTATTGTATTGTACTACAATTTTCAGTCTTTTGTGAAAATGTACAGTATTACATTGTTTAGTATTAATATAGCGTGTGTTGTACCGATTTGTAGTTTTGCATTACATTATTTTATCTTTCCGCAAATTATTATATCATCCGAAAATTTAGTGATGTGGTTTCCAGCCTTATCATCAATGTCACTGATGATCGTAAAACATATTTTAGTGGGACTTCGCTGGCAACATTACTTCAATCAGATTTCTGTTTTAGGACGATTCTTTGTTGTTTGTGTTTCAGTCATTATTGTGGCTATTTCAATTGTGTGCCAGTGATTGCTTTGCTTTAATTAATATTCCGGGTCAGCCTCTTGTAACGTACGATTATGTTACGTTGTTGGGTTGATTAGATACACAGTGTTTAGTGAGTTTCATATTTATTTAGTTGTCCTGGATACAGCAGTGTCGTAGACGTTGAGACGAAGCCTGGAGCAGAGCAGAGAGCTGAGTGAGGCCGGAGTCGTGGAGCTCTTATGTGGGAGAGCGTGGCGGCTCGATTGAGAATTGCGAGTGTCTGAACTCGGGGAGCGAGAGCGTGGCGGCTCGATGCGGTCGTAGTCTGCTGTCTGCTCTGTGTCGAAGCTGTAGCGTCTTGGGTCGATTAGGACTGTACACGCCGAGTGCTACATTGTTGACTGTGGAAATTGAACTGTCTTCTATTGATTGATTGATTGATAAAGATTAAGCCACCCAAGAGGTGGCACGGGCATGAATAGCCCGTAAGTGGTGGCCCTTTTGAGCCATTACCAGTATCAAGAGCTGATACTGGAGATCTGTGGAGGTGCGAATGCACCCTGCTTGTCTATTGATTGATTGATGAAGATTAAGCCACCCAAGAGGTGGCACGGGCATGAATAGCCCGTAAGTGGTGGCCCTTTTGAGCCATTACCAGTATCAAAAGATGATACTGGAGATCTGTGGAGGCGCAACTGCACCCTGCGTGACGGGAGATGTCTCCCGGACCAAATGGTGACCAAATGGTCAAAAGTTGGTGTCTTCTATTCATCAAATCGTTGCTTATATGGTGATTACACCTCAGCTTCCTCCAACAAGGCGAGAAGAGTATTATCTGTAATTGGGGAAAGGATTGTAGCTTCTGTAATTAGTTATGCTATTAAGATAATGAGATAATGGAGCGAGTATAAGATTAACTCGCTACACTCTCGTCTGAATAGGTACATAGGTACAGTAATACAGCAGTAAATAGGTACCTGGGAGTTAGACAGCTGCTACGGGCTGCTTCCTGGAGATGTATAATGTTTGATGCTTGTAACAGAGTCTAAGCCGAGCAGTAGTAACATCTAGAAGTCTGCTGATTTTATTGGCAGAAAGAAGGGCTGAAAGTAGGGACTGGCGGATGTGAGTCAGGGCTGTGCCGCCTCCCTCCCCCAGCACATGGGGGATACCATGTGCTGGGGGAGGGAGGCGGAGAGCAGGAGGGGCGGTGGGAGGCGGCACAGCCCTGACTCACATCCGCCAGTCCCTACTTTCAGCCCTTCTTTCTGCCAATAAAATCAGCAGACTTCTAGATGTTACTACTGCTCGGCTTAGACTCTGTTACAAGCATCAAACATTATACATCTCCAGGAAGCAGCCCGTAGCAGCTGTCTAACTCCCAGGTACCTATTTACTGCTGTATTACTGTTTGATTGTTTGCTTCCTGGAGATGTATAATGCAAACTATACGGTTTGTATAGTTGGATAAGGTTTGCATAGTTGAATGCGTGTTGGTTTATTGTGTTGTGTTGTATTTTTTCATTCGTATTTTATTGTTATAGTGCGCTGTATTGTATTGGGTTGTATTCAGTTTTAATTTATGTTTTATTGTTCTGTATTGTGTATTGTATTATTCTGTACTGTATTTTGTTGTTATATTGTAGTATTCTGTATAACAATGTGTTGTAGTGTGTTGTATAACATTGCATTGTATTATGCTATACTGTATTTTGTATTATATTGTAATGTGCTGTACAGCATTGTATTGTATTAAAATGTATTGTTATGTAGTGCAATATTGCACTGTGTTATATCTTGCTTTTGTATTGTTAAATATAGTATTGCTATTCTGTTTCGTAATGATTCCTCCGACGTGTAGAATTTTTTTAGGAATGTAGTATACAGTATGGTAGATAAGTAGATCTCTTTGCACCTTCAACTGCCAGCATGTGTGTGCTTGCTCATTCCCACAAGTTCCAACAAGAGGGATAAACAGGAACGTCTTACCCTTCGTTGCTTAATTAGTGCTTAATCAGCATTCAGGATGTCTTCAACTAATTCCTGTGACATGCTCGTTTGTTCTAAGACTTTATTAAGCACTGCAGCTCAGCTCTCCCGTTACAGGGAGCTGCTGAGCCATCTATATTAATTCAATATAACAAATTGTGTGCCTCATTATTAATTTATTGTGGCAGCACGATATAATTGTAAATTTAAATTTCGTTTATTTTCAATCTTGCATGGTTCTTCTTCCCCAGGAGGTAAGTTCATAGGAAACAAATTGACTCACGGGATTGATATAGTAAATGGAATTCTTCTATGTTACATACTACTCGATCTTCCCTATGTTTGTGTTATATATATAGTTCTTGTTATAATTAATGCAGAACTTCATTATTTTATTGTAATGCCATTATAAATAGTCTCTGGTAAGTGTAATAGCATGTTTCACATTCAATTCTTTGATCCTGCTTTTAACTAGATAGACTAAGTTTAACTAGATAGACTAAGTTTAACTAGATAGACTAAGTTTAACTAGATAGACTAAGTTAAACTAGATAAACTAAGTTTAACTAGATAGACTAAGTTTAACTAGATAGACTAAGTTAAACTAGATAAACTAAGTTTAACTAGATAGACTTAGTTTAACTAGATAGACTAAGTTTAACTAGATAGACTAAGTTTAACTAGATAGACTAAGTTAAACTAGATAAACTAAGTTTAACTAGATAGACTAAGTTTAACTAGATAGACTAAGTTAAACTAGATAAACTAAGTTTAACTAGATAGACTTAGTTTAACTAGATAGACTAAGTTTAACTAGATAGACTAAGTTTAACTAGATAGACTAAGTTTAACTAGATAGACTAAGTTTAACTAGATAGACTAAGTTTAACTAGATAGCCTAAGTTTAACTAGATAGACTGTCTTTGGGCAGCCCATCATTATTAACAAAGTGTTCACTCCATGCACCCAATAAACCATCCCCTTCCCTTGTTTATGAATGACAATTTCTTTACACGCCACTCACAACTGATGTTCAAACATTTCTCGAATATTGCTTCCCTGTTTATATTTGATAGTTTATTGTTCACCCTATATTCTTCTTGTGAGCGATTGTTTATTGTGCACCCTATATTCTTATTGTGAGCGATTGTTTATTGTGCACCCTATATTCTTCTTGTGAGCGATTGTTTATTGTGCACCCTATATTCTTCTTGTGAGCAATAGTTTATTGTTCACCCTATATTCTTCTTGTGAGCGATTGTTTATTGTGCACCCTATATTCTTCTTGTGAGCGATAGTTTATTGTGCACCCTATATTCTTCTTGTGAGCGATTGTTTATTGTGCACCCTATATTCTTCTTGTGAGCGATTGTTTATTGTGCACCCTATATTCTTATTGTGAGCGATTGTTTATTGTGCACCCTATATTCTTCTTGTGAGCGATTGTTTATTGTGCACCCTATATTCTTCTTGTGAGCGATTGTTTATTGTGCACCCTATATTCTTCTTGTGAGCGATAGTTTATTGTTCACCCTATATTCTTCTTGTGAGCGATTGTTTATTGTGCACCATACTCATTCTCTGAGCTGTAGTTTATTGTGAACTATACACTCATATTTTGAGCGGTTGTTTATTGTGCACCCCATACGCATCAGGTGAGCTGTAGTTTATTGTTTATCACATACTCATCCTGTGAGTACTGTATTGTTCATCACATTCTCATCCTGTGAGTACTGTATTGTTCATCACATACTCATCCTGTGAGTATTGTTCATCACATACTCATCCTGTGAGTATTGTTCATCACATACTCATCCTGTGAGTATTGTTCATCACATACTCATCCTGTGAGCGATAGTTTATAAAAAGGTGTTTTATATTAACAATCTTATGTACAATTTGAATTTCATTATATAATGGGTGATGACAACTATTGTGTGAACTGTAACTATTATGTTTAATAGTGAAGCACTGATTATAGTAATTAGATAACACTAAAAATTATTTCAAAATTGGATATTAGAGTTATTTAATTATTGCTATTTACATGTAGTATTATATGAAGTTTGAATTATATTTTCAAAGATCATCATTTGTTTACATATTTTGCTTTGCTCACTAGAATACAAATTTATACACAAGGCCACGATTTCAGGTAATTCATTATTATCAATAATGTACGGTATACAGGGTCGAGTAGGTCATGGCCTAGGGCCCACCAGCACCAGGAGACCCACCAGCACCAAGGGGCCCACCAGCATCAAGAGGCCCACCAACACTAGGGGAGTCACCAGCACCAGGAAGCCCACCAGCACCAGGGGCCCGCCAGCACCAGGAGGCCCACCAACATCAAGGGGGCCCACCAGCACCAGGAGGCCTACCAGCATCAAGGAGCCCACCAACACTAGGGGACCCACCAGCACCACAATGAGACAAATATCAAATAATACTTGGAGTAATCAGTGACTTTGTAAAATTGGCGATTTTTTCCTGTGTAATTCCTGTACTGCAAACGTTGTCGTACGGGTTTCCAACGTTTCGTATGGCGTTTAACATTTAGCTGTTTTGGCCTGTGGGCCCGAAAACAGTTAGGCTAAACTTTAGCCTTTGAAAAGTCACACTGACCAGAGGGTGGGGCCCATTAACCTGCTTTGGCCTTGGTCCTAAGAAAGTTAGATCCGGCCTTAACGGTGTACTTAGATCTAACTCAAAATGGTAAAATTTTAACGGCCTTAGATGTAATACTCTATTGTGTGACCATGTCTTTGTCCAAGCATTTTACATTTCATGTGATCTAGTTCCAGATACAAAATGAACTGTCCGAAACACAAGTAGCCTAGTCGTATTCTAGTTATGACGGCATATACCTGCACTGATTTTGTTGCTCCGTGAGTCTTCTTTGATACATTTCATTATAAAAGACAGTGACTCTGATATTTAGTGTTTGTATTCTTAAAATTCGTCTGATATTGCCAATCATGGCCTTTTAAGATGTCGAGCAGTGTACATGTTGTTTAACGTGTATATACTACCTCTGCTATATGAAGTGTTTCAAGAGTTATATTCATTGTGCAAAACCCGTTGAAGAAAGCTTTGGCTTTCCTTTTCTGAGGCAATTTGCTTATTCACTTAAGAAATTGCTTCGTAAACCCTAAGCTCATCTTGGGATTCATAATAGTAATACTCCCTTGTGCCTCATTAAACTTCTTATAATGTCAGTGACGAAATAATATTATACTCATGCATTTATGTATAATGTATAGTATTTTATACAGTATCATTCGAAACTAAAGTTGTTTATTTGGTTGAGGAACAGTTCAATATGCAGGTAACACATTGTGAGCAGGCGTGACAATTAACTGCCTGCTAACCAATGTATAACTGTTCGCCACTATTGACCCAGCAGTAGTTGTAAAGTGATTAGTACTTGGGTCGTGTTCCAGGGCAAAACTAGTTGGTTAAGGAATTAGAATAGCTATAAGAAGAGAAATATGCTTTTTAGAATCACAAGTCGTCTTCTCTCGTACCCACCTGTGAAAAAATAGCTTTCTTGCAGACACATTGATAGTTATTATGACAAGAAATAATAGTGTAAATGGTTCCTGTAAAACCCATTAACATCCTTAAAATACACTTAAGGATACTTAAGTGTATCTTACACTTAAAATACACCTAAATAAGTTAATTCGCGTAATGGTTCTTATTATAAGTTTTAACATGATTGTTGCTTAGATCCCAACGAGAGTAATACCTTAAACAATATTGTTTATATGATGTACAATGAAAGTAATATTATAAAACAGTTTTGGTTCGTGTTATACTTTCTACAATATTTCATTAATAATGTGAAAACGGACTGTGTATTTCATTGTGTTGTCTTGTATTGCACTGCATTGTTATGTGTTTCATTATACATTGCACTAAATAGGGACGTATTTATTACTCGGTACATTATACTGCACTGATTGATTCGCGTTGTGTTGGACTGTCTGCCCTCGCCAGCAACGGGCTGAGGTGGCTACCAAGATGCGTCGCGTGTACGTCCAGTATCTGAGCGCCGCCCGCCAGATCGACGCCTGCTACGACCTCCTGCTCCACCCACAGAAGCGCCTGCTGCTGCGTCGCTTGCTGGACGCCACCATCGGCAGAATCGTTGAGCTGAAGGTGAGGAGGGGCGAGGGGTACATGCCTGGAAGCTAGACGCTATACCTGCTCATGGGCTATTCATGCCCGTGCCACTTCTTGGGTGGCTTAATCTTCATCAATCAATCGCTATACCTGCATAGTGTTTTATAAAATACATATGACATGAAGCAAATTGGCGGGTACTATGTTAGACAAGTACTGGTGAGTAAATACATTCACAAACAAATACATCCCAAACACAGAACGCCTATACAATGTTTTGACAGCAACTTGGTCTGATCCTAATGTCTCCATGTAGTGGATAACATACGGTACTGTAATTTGAAATATACAGCTCGCTTGTTTCGAAATATGGTGGTTGGTATGCTAGGTAGTCACGTAGCCTTATGCAGTGCCAGAGTTCGTACCCAACAATGGCTTTTGATTTATCTTAAGACCACTTTCGAGAAATTTCCTGCCCTCACATAATAGTTTGAGACCATTCTATCCTGGATTGATTTACGTTATGGTTGCCATATGTCCGTGTTTTCCAGGACGGCCTGGATTTAGGTGTAAAAATTTGCGTCCAGGAAGACTAAAAAATTCTCCAAAAGTCCGGAATTTCAGCTTCCATCACTCAAAATTTGTTCTATATATATATATATATATATATATATATATATATATATATATATATATATATATATATATATATATATATATATATATATATATATATATATATATATATATCATGATGAAGTAATTTTCTGAAACATCTGTGGCCAAAATTGTCACGAGTGCTGTCGGGTATTAGGTTAAAAGTTAGACTTTCAAATAATTTTGCAGTCTGATGATGGCAGAGTGTTCACGGGTGAGCAGTATTGATGCACATGTAGAAGTAGAGGGAGGCAAGGAGCATACAATGGTGACTAAAGTTAACCTCTCACCCCCGTTCCTCCTGCAGCACGAGCTGGTGGCTCTGGAGCTGAGTGATGTACATCACTGTGACGACGTCATGGTCGAGCTCAACCTCACGCCCCACGACCTCATCGTCCCCATCCCCACCTACATCAGGAGGGAGAGGCTACCTATCATCACGGAGGTCAGTGGACAGTGTGAATGAGAAGCTATCCCATCATCACAGAGGTCAGTAATTAAGCGAAGGAGAGGCTATATCCATCCCTAAAGAAGTTGGCAATTGGGTGAAATCATACACATATATTGATACTTGGAGCCTTTAATGTTTTACACAGTCACAACCAGACAAGGGATAAGCGAAAGAATGTCACTAGTCACAATACGTACATTGCTAAGTACGTATAACCCCAAACAGGGAACGAAAGGCACTGATACTCCAGTTGCTTGCACGGGAAGTGAGACGAACTGCCTGTTCTCCATGAGTTGTAGGGTCATCTCTTCAAGTCATGGTGTTATGTGAGGCTGGGGCAGTAGCTGCATGTGACACTGCAAGCCTAAGAGAACTAAGGTTCGTGGAGGAAACTCACGAGGCTCAGGAAACGTAGTCTCACAGCTCTAGAGGATAGAAGGAACTGAGGGGACGTAGTCACTACATACAAGATACTGATGGAATAGACAAGAACAGCCATTTTAAAGTGAGAGGAAATTTGGACAAGATGACGTAGGTGGAAGCTGGAAGGGCAAATGTGTTAAAACTCGTACTATACACGGGCGGCCAACAAATTAAAAACAAAAATAAATCGTGCAAGCCCACACCATTCACAAAATAACTCGAACATCAGTAGCTAAAAAAACAAAACCGCATCAGGTACAACAAGGCTATAATAGGTGGCGCCTAAAGGGCTAGACATCACGCCACTGTAGTCAGTTTCAGGTAAGTCGTCTGCTGTACTTAATGTGATAAAGCTCACAAACTTTGCTTATACTTAAGCCACTTATTTTTCACAGAGGAATATCTTGATAGACGACTGTCTGCGTCGTGCTGGGCTGGAGGCTGTGTCTGAGGACGAGGCGTCACCCTTGACGGTGTCCGAAGCTATACTCCTGCTACAGAAGCATGAGCGGGCCAAGCAGGGCCGAGCCAAGGCCGAACATCGTCGCGACCTGCTTGCCAGACAGGTACTCACATAGTTGTACTTATGAAGGAGCCTGTGGTAAAATCCTAATTAATGTGATCAAATATCGGTTAAATAAGGATACATGATTCCTAGTATTAAAAATCAAACTGACCTACCAGTTTAGATCAAGAGTTGAATTGCTGATTATTTTTTAGCGCAGGTACTCCAGCATGATAATGGTGACTACTTCAGCAACAAGTTGAAATCACGAGAAACGTTGAATTTAACTTAACCAAATAGTTAAGTTTGTCCGACTTGTATACTACATAGCCTTCCCGGCTTGGTGCCTTCTTTTGATAATTACTTACTTGTCCGACATGTACGTGTCCCATGCACGAGCGAAACCAAGGACATGTAGAGCGTAGTGTTTGTTAGAGTGTACTTGTCTCCTGCAGGAGCGAGATCGAGGGCGTGGCCGGCAGCAGGTGTCCGTGGAGGTGGCTGTGGTGCGCCTCCAGGCCGTCACCCGCGGCATGCTAGCAAGGCGCAAAGTGGCTCAGATGCGCTTACAAGAGGAGCTCTTCTTAGGTCTGGTGGGTACTGGCCTTTTCGCGCGCCTTGATGTATGTCTTCAGTTTGATCATATATGTTAGAATTGCGGATTTTTATCTAAGCTGCTACAGCTTATGACGACAACAATTTTTTTTAATTATTATTCTCTCACGCGTATTTTATACAACGTCAGATTTTAACGGGAGGATGAGAAAAGTATCGATTCCTCATTTATAATCAGTTATTCAACTCTCGAGTGTGACAAGGCGATGTTCCGGCAGCGTCCAGACCCGACATTGGATCGCAGCTGGGATGAGAAGCTCCTGAAGGTCCACGAGGTCAGGTACGCAGTCCAGGAAGAGAGAAAGGACGAGCTCGATGATCTTCAGAAGCGCATACAAACCAAGATTGTGTATGAGGAGGGCACCCACCTCCTCACCTCCCTGGAGGACAAGATACGTGAATGGATCTTCCAGAAGAAGTGAGCACCACCCGTGTGTTTGTGGTAGCCGGCCGGGTTAGAGATGGTAGAAATCCCCACGGATCTTGTTAATGGATATTTTTTTGTTGGACGTTTGGGACTTCTTTTGTTGGAACTTTTTGTTGGGTGTTTAGCACTTTTTTTGTTGGGCTTTAGGCACTTTTTTGTTGGCCAATTGCCACTTTTTTGTTTAGCGTTTGCCATTTTCTTGCTGGGTGTTTGCCACTTTTTTGTTTGGCATTTGCCACTTTTTTGTTGGGCAAAAAAAAAAAATTTTTTTTGTTGGGCCCCCATCACCTATCATCTAATTCACCTAAGCGTTAGATGACTGTTATGAAGTGCATCACTTGGAGAATGTCAGTCATTGGCCTAAAATGAACCTTGGTAAGGGCAATAGAGCCCCATCTTCCCAGTCCCCAACACTCTGAAACCTCTTCACAACACTCTTTTTTTCCCTTGCACTCTCCTGCTGGCGACCTGGCCGGGCCTGCGATGTGGTACAGACATGAGACAGGCAAGTTCCCAGATCTGCCGGAGGAGGAGGAAGGCGGGTCCTCAGCCATCGTGGGAATGGCGCGCGTCGACGACGACACCGCCAGCGATGATGCCAGGTCTCTGGAGAAGAAGGTGCGTGGTTTTGTGTATATATATATACAGTGGTTAACCAGTGTGTCGTGGGAATGATGGGATGTATAATTCTTAGTATGTGCGAGACATTTCCAGGAAGTTTATAAAGAGGCTTCAACTTTTGCACTGAAATTTATCTTTAAATAAAATTCCAACAAATGTATATTTCAAGGCAATATGTTATCTTCCTGTGTGTGTGTGTGTGTGTGTGTGTGTGTGTGTGTGTGTGTGTGTGTGGAAGCCGTAGTGGCGCCAAAGACAATAAGAGTGTTGTGTCGCCCCGCGCCACCAGGATACCAGCCAGCAGGGAGCCCGCCCAGACGTGAGACACCGCCAGTGTTGACACTCACCCGCCGTCACGCGCCGCACCTCTCACAGTTTTCCCTAATGCAACTTTTTTCCTCAATGCTGAATCATATTATTATTATTGTGCTTGTTTCCTTATCGCTTCTTCGTTATTTACTGAAAATATTGATTAAGAATAGGAAATATCTATTAAGAATAGAAATATCCATTAATAGAAATATCTATTAAGGATAGAAATATCTATTTAGAATAGAAAATATCTATTTAGAATAGAAAATATCTATTAAAAATAGAAAATATCTATTAAGAATAATACTGCATGGATGTTATTTTATGCTTTTTGTTCATTGATATTGGCATGTTTCTTGTCTTTTTTGCATTGCTCAATATTAAAAAGCATGCTTTTTAAAGTGTTTTTTAATGGTTCACATCAATAAATTGCATTTTTTTTAATTCATTCTATAATGTTGGAGAGCATAATTTTAAATTTATGCAGGTGTAAAGCATGACAATATTTGAGTTAATAAAAAAACACTTCAAGCATATAGGCCTATTAGAGGTCAAGAGGAGACACGCCCCAACCACTTGACCAGCAGGGGGGGGAGGGAGAACCACCAGGGGGGGTCGAATGAACTTGTGTTCATATCTCGTCCACACGTTGAACACTGTGAACCAAGGTAAGAATGCTTCAAGTTCATAATTACCCGCCGGGAAAAACGTGTACATATATGATAAATGTGTTTGTTAAACAATTTATATATATATATATATATATATATATATATATATATATATATATATATATGTGTGTGTGTTTTGACGATCCCTCCAGGTTATTAAAAATAAGAGACTGTGGACGTCAGTGTAGAGTAGGGGCTCTTAATGGCATAATAGAGGCCTCGAGGCCTCATTGTTGCTGCCAGAAGGCACTTGTTCTAACTGCAGTGCCAATGACACTGTAGTTGAAGCACTGCTTGAGGCTCCAGTGTCACTGTGTTATCTTTGTGTGTGTGTTATCTATATCTAGCACACTATGCTAGCTCAGCAGTGTGCCTGTACCGTATCCATAACATTTATTACCACTATGGAGTGCAAGTTGAATGTTCATATTTTTTTTAAATTGTCAATGAAAAACATATATGGGACCTTGTGTACATACGTCTTGAATGTTTATGTTTTTATTCATAAGGTTGGTTTTGCTGTAATACGCTGACATTTATATATGGGCATACTATATACATAGGGTACAAATGTACTGCTAACACGACTGTTTTATTCCGTGTGTGCTAGAGCGAACGGGAGAGAGCGCGGGAGCAGGCCAAGCAAAAGAAAAAGAAGGAAGTAGAAGAGAAATCCATTGTGCTGAAACCCTCTTCCTTCGTCACAGACATCCAGGGCGCCTGCGACCAGTACCAGGGTAAGACCAGTACCCATTTCGATGACAGACAAAATAGCAGCGATGACTGTAAAGTTAAAACAATATTGGTAGCGTCATAAGAGTGGAGCATAAGCCTAGTGTCGTGGACAGATGTGTGGGCGGGCAAGGACATAGAGGCCAACCCGGAGGAGCACCCTGAGAAGGACATGATCGAGGCCGAGCAGAGGGCGAGAGTGGAGGTGGAGATACGACGCCAGGTTGACTACCTCATGCGACAGGAGATCCAGAGACTCAAGGAGGTACTGCTAACCTTCGTATTTGTTAGTAACCAGATTCACAAAACATATTACGTGTACAGTTACGAGATTCGTGTCTCGTATCTCGATCATGGCGGCTTAGGTGGTATTTACCAAACAGTTTACAAGCTCCGAGGCATTACGAGAGCGGCCTCAACCCAAGGTTAATATTGTTATTTCAACTTTTGTATCGCTTTGGAGCTCATAAGTCGCTGAGGTCCAGTATTGAGCGTTATCCCATAAAATGTCTACCTCAGTTCACTCATTATCTTAGGTGATGCCCGCAACGCTGCGCGTAATTACTGGACTAATAAATTATACAAATACTGTAAAAAATAACCCTTGTAATCTGATCCTTTGTATATCTCTTAATAATAATAATAATAAGAATAAGAATAATAATAACAATCATCATAATCATCATCTTCTTCATATTATTATTATTATTATTATTATTATTATTAGTAGTAGTAGTAGTAGTAGTAATAGTAGTAGTAGTTGACCAGACCACACACTAGAAGGTGAAGGGACGACGACGTTTCGGTCCGTCTACAGTAGTAGTAGTACTCAAAGTGATACAAATCTATAAAGTGTACACATACAAATTAGTTCTTGTGAATCCGGTCTGGTTGTTGGAGAAAATGTTGATAACCTCACTCAAGATTCGTACAAAACAAATCTCATTCTTCAAAAGTACTCAACAAAGACCTTGCTGCCTAAAGTCCACATTTCGGTCACTAAATGCGGACTTGAGTTCCAGAAAATGAAAAGCAAGGTGAACTTGTAGGCGTGTCATGTCTTCAGCCTGCTACCACGAGACGTGTCAAATCTAAATAATTATTTACTAATTTTGCAGGACGTAGAAGGTGAAAAGAGAGGAGCCAAGAAGAAAAAGAGAGTGAAAAAAGGTGGGAAGAAAGGAAGAAAACGGAAAGAGAAAGACCTGACGCCTGACAGAACTACAGAGTCACTCTTTGAGGAAATGGTCCTCAACGGTGAGTGGGGGGGGGCGGGGGCTGCTAGCTGGTGCTAGTGGGTGGTGGGGGATGGTGCTAGTGGGTGGTGGGGGCTGGTGCTAGTGGGTGGTGGGGGCTGGTGCTAGTGGGTGGTTAGGGATGGTGGTAGTGGGTATCTACTAGTGCCACTAGTATGAGCTGCTGGCTGATACTAGTGGGAAGTGGGAGTTGTTGGCTAATGCTTTATATAATGAAAATAAAGCAGTATAGTAAAATGGTCAAATTGTAAATTTATACGTTAACTTAAATCCATGCACCTATTCTCTCATTATATCACCAATATAACAAGTGTCATCATTGGCGTTGATGTGAGTTTTGTTGTATTAACAGTCCTTTGCACACAGCAATATGGTGCTACCCTTCGTGAAGGAATACATAATGTAGATCAAGAGCTATCTATGATCTCATGTAATAGCCTCATCTCACAGGATGTTTAGTCATATATGGAGTCCGGAGACAACTTGACATGTGTGTGTAGTATGCACTAGCAAATTTTGGCTTCACCACGACAATATCTTATAATGTGATGTGCATGCTGACGCCAGTTTTCATTTGGGTTAGGTTAGGTTAGGGTAGGTTGAGTTTGTTTTGGTTAGGGGTAGGTTAGATTTGTTAAGATCACAGGTATGACGTAAGGGAGCACATACGTTTCTGAGGTGGTAGACTCTACTGGTGTGTTGTGTGTCAGGAATCATCAAGAAGGTGCCCGAGGTGCGACTTAGTCAGCTGTCCGGGGACATCAACCTGGTGGGGTGCGAGACGCTGGTCAACACCAGGTATCCTCAGCCTGCCTTCGGTGATATCAAGAATATACTCACTGAGTACGTCGTTCTCCCTCTAGGTATGTGTTTACCTCTTAGTCTTCTCTCAGGGACGTCCATACCTCCTCCGTGTTTTATGCATGCTCTTCATCCTACACCTACTTGTGCTTCATCCTACACCTGCGTCATGACCCAACTCTCACACTTGCATGCTCCTCAGAATGCTAGGTTACCGCGGAGCAACATGAATGTTGCAGGATAATCCTAGGCGATGATGCCGTTGCAGGCGTGGCTGGGGTGCACGAGCAGACGCAGCTGGTGAGGAGCGTGCTGGTGTGTGGGCCTCGAGGCTGCGGCAAGACCAGCCTGGTTCACGCCCTCGCTTACGAAGCCGGGGCCACTCTCATGGACCTCACGGCCACCAACATCGTCGGCCGCTACCCTGGCAGGGCCGGCCTCAACATGCTCACACATCTGGTTATGAAGGTAACACCTGGCCACGAAGGTAACACACCTGGCCACGAAGGTAACACACCTGGCCACACAGTAAACGAGTTCAGACAAACCCGTCCTAAAAGCGCGCGCATCCTACGTATTCTCAGCTATCATTATTGGGCCCCCGAGGCATAGTAGTCGACGTCTTCCACTCGCTACCGAGGGACCCGGATTCAGTCCCTGGGCGGGACAAAACGAGTGGGCACGTTTCCCCCTTTACCCGATGCCTCTGTTCACCTAGCAGTAAATGGGTACCTGGAAGTTAGAGAATTGTTGTGGGTTGCATCCGGGGGAAGGTCGCTTTACCACGTGGGATTGTTTACAACGTGGGTATGTTTACCACGTGGGATTGTTTACAACGTGGGTATGTTTACCACGTGGGATTGTTTACAAAGTGGGTATGTTTACAACGTGGGGTCTGTTTACCACGTGGCTTTGTTTACCACTTATGTTTGATCACCACGAGGATTTTGTATTTACCACATATGTACGTTGACCACGTGGGTTTGTTTACTGCCTGGTTTTATTCACTGCGTATGTTTGTTTACCACTTTGAGGTGATATATTGATGATAATGGTGAAAAAAGTGATAGTGACAATAATAGTCATGGCGATGATGATAGTAATAGTGGTGATATTATTGGTGACAATGATGGTGTTGCTGCAGGTTGGTCGTCTGCTACAGCCCACACTCGTCATGATCGACGCTGCTGACAAAATGTTCATGAAGAAGGCGAGTACAACTTTATTTTTCCTAGCAACCCGTCTCAAGTTCAAGCATGCTTATTGAGACAAGAAAGAAATACATCTCAGAGGGATAGAGTAGCTTAGGCTATTTCTACCTCCCCTGCAACCCGTTTTCTTAATTTTTCTAGCAATACGTTAACTTTATTTTGCTAGCATCACGTTTTCTTTATTTGTCTAGCAATCCGTTTATCTTGGCTTTTCCTCCCTCTCTTATTTCTCTCTTATTCGCACACGTCCATCACGCTTTACCGTCGTTTCCTTCACGCTCACCATGTTATTGTCTGCTTCATTGTGTCCTTACAATCTTCTGGTTTCTCTTTTGCTCGCCTCTCTTCCAATCCTTTCCTCTCTTCCGTGTTTCATTTATTTTTATTTCCGATCTGTTCCCCTTCTATAATTATTTTATCAACTCTTCTTTTATTTACTTTCCTCCACTCCTGTCTTCTCATCTTCCATGACTCCTCATTAACTTTTGCCCTGTCTCGTTTTCCTCCTCTCTCTCTCTTTCCTCTCTCGTCCTCCCTCTCATTCCCTTTTTCCTGTCTCTTCCTCCCTCTTTTTCCCCTTTCCCTGTTTCGTCCTCCCTCTCTTTTCCATTTTCTCCTTCCCACCCCAACCTTTCTCTTCCCGGTTGTTAACAACAGAACCGGTTGCCTGCTTCAGGTGCCGAAGACGGACAAATCAGACCCCCGGCGGCTGAAGAAGGAGATGCCGAGGATGCTGAAGAGTCTGGGCCCTGAGGACAGGATTGTATTCATAGGTATCACCAACGCTCCTTGGAACTGCGACGCCAAGGTCCGTATACCCTTGGCTTCTCTCATATACTCTACTTAATACCGTACTGCAAGTTCCAATATTTGAGAGAGAGAGAGAGAGAGAGAGAGAATGAATAGTGACACAGGTTGTGTTTTTCAGTCACTGTCGTCCGTGTACCAGAAGATGGTGTTGGTCCAGCGGCCCAGCTTCAGTGCCCGGGCAAACCTGTGGAGACACTTCATCACCCAGAATGGTGTCAGGGTAAACATTCACACCTGCTTATTACCTCTTACCTGACGTCTATCTATTTCTATAAATTTATCCCTATATATATATACTGTATATGCTCTTTACCTTAATATATATTTCCATTGTACTCGCTGCTTACGTGCATAACAGCATGGTTTAAATGCTAATTGTTATCATAATATTTTTGTTTCAACATTGGATTTAACTTTCCAGGTGACGCCTCACATCGATATCAGCGGGCTCGCCAGGATCAGTGACGGCTACACGTCAGGCCATATTTGTAGTGTGGTGAATCAGGTGAGTATGGTTGGTGTGAGGTGAGTATGGTTGGGGTGAGGTGAGTATGGTTGGGGTGAGGTGAGTATGGTTGGGGTGAGGTGAGTATGGTTGGGGTGAGGTGAGTATGGTTGGGGTGAGGTGAGTATGGTTGGGGTGAGGTGAGTATGGTTGGGGTGAGGTGAGTATGGTTGGGGTGAGGTGAGTATGGTTGGGGTGAGGTGAGTATGGTTGGGGTGAGGTGAGTATGGTTGGGGTGAGGTGAGTATGGTTGGGGTGAGGTGAGTATGGTTGGGGTGAGGTGAGTATGGTTGGGGTGAGGTGAGGTGCGTCTGGAGGTGGAGGGTTGGATTTACGTATTGTGAGGGGAGTCTGTCGGATGTGAGGAGTTTGGTAGTGGAGAGATGAACCTGGCTGATGAAGCCATTACCAGTACCAACAGCTGATATTGGAGATCTGTGGATGGATGGGGTCCTCGTGGTAATTGAACCTTGTTGTTGTTGTTTTTAAATTCAGCTACTGGGAACAAAAAGTTGCAAGTAGCACGGGCTATGGTGAGCCCGTAGTGGACTTACCTGGCACAAGAGCGGGGCTGTAACTCAGGAAATTGAACCGATTGATTGATGACGATTAATCCACCCAAGAGGTAGCACGGGCGTGAATAGCCCGAAAGTGGTAGATTTTTTTGTTAGTAAATATATATATAGTGTGTGCTGAGGTTGCATGTAATCGTCAGGCTGCTACCGCGGGGGAGGATACTTCTTGACTGTATTTATAAGGGTGTCCAGCTGCTGGACACCTTTTTTGACCAGAAGACTGGCAGTGTTGATTTGCTTCAGGGTTTTTACTGCAAGATTCAGGGACTCTTAAAGCTCTTCTAGGTCGTTGGTTGCTTCACATTCCAGGAGATAGTTAAGTAGTGGCTTTTCTGTGATTGTTTGGCAAAAGATGCATTCCCTCTGTCTGGGTTTACCAATCTCCCAGTTGCATCTGTAACCTAGACGTAGTCTACATACCCGAACTGTTATTTCCCTGTGGATTCCTTTTGGGATATTAAATCATTCTAACTTGGTGGCCTGAAGGTACAATATTGCAGAGGGCGAACCTTCTGCTACTCTCTGGACCCTGGCGGTGGTGAGTTATATATGATGGTTGTGGAGAGATGAGTCTGGCAGTGCTGAGCTTACCTATCATTATTTTACACTGCAACCCCAAAACGTGACACCATAGGAGGTGATCTTTCCTTAAGCAATCCCATAATCTCGTCATGACAGTCCCCCCCCACCCTCACCCCACATCCGCCCGTCATCCTGCAAAGTTTAATGAGGCTATCCCAAACGTCTGGTCTCCAGCCTTGGACAAAGAAACACAGAAACGGACATATAGACATCCTATTATATAGATTTATAAGTATGTCTGTAAAGGATGCACCAAAGTTCCTCTATATCTTCCGAAGCTGCCCTAATGTTTATATGCTGATGAGCTGTAATGGGTTGCATCATTGGGAATTTTCCTGAGAGTGTAATGACTGGTATGTAATGTCTAACTATATTGGTATTAATCTATATAGTTTGTTTTTATTTAAATGTAAGTTTGTTTTATTTTTGTCAATATTAATTTTTGTTTCATTTGCCAATGTTTGCAAATTGTAGAGTTGTGTGAGGGAATATTTAATATCCCGGTAGTACAGTCGGGTTCGTTCTCAAATCAATCGAGAATTCCTGGTTCGAATCCCAAGTGGCTTCCTATCATCTGATGCCCCTGTTCACCTAGTAGTAAGTCGGTAACCAGGGGTTAGTCAGCTTGTTGTGGTTGCATCCTGAGGAGGATCTGTAATTCGACCCTTGAGAGACCTCGATAAAAACCCGAGGTGTACCGTATGTTTGTAAAAAGTAGAGTTAAAGATTTCGAGTGACAATTCAGCGCACATTGTCGCGTGGCGGCGTCAGCTTCGCCCTCAGACGGGTTCCTGACGTGGCCGGTGGCGGGGTCCAGCCACCTCACTGCTGAGGGGTTGGCCTCAATCTTCTCACTCATTTGAGAAGGTACAAATAATTTGCCGAGTAGATAAATTTATTCCATGTTGTATTACGTTCTAATTTATGTTCTTATTTTTATTTTTTAATAAATAATGGAGGCACCTTGCTGATTTGAGTCAGGCAATTCAAGATACTGTAGTTTTGTCACCTAGTCTTGTTCCCTCTGTATCTGAAGTGTGTTTTTTCCCGTTTTCTAATTTTAACTAACGTAATTGTACTTGTAAAGTTAAAAGGATGGAATGAAACAAAATTATCCCATTCCCCTTACAAGGGCCACCCTCTTCAGTGGTCATCTAGGACTTTAATATGCTTAAATTGGCTTCCTATTCTGACAATGGAAGCCCAATAAGCTGGAGTTATGTCTTCAGGTGGTGACGGACCAGCGACTAGCCAAGCTGAAGAAGACGCCACTCAACTCACTCGAGTTCATCCTCCCTCTCAGCAAGATTGAACCCATCTATAGGTAAGTAGCACAAAAGCAGAACAAGGGAGTTATTGAGATTGTGTGAGAGAGATATTTGCAAAAGCAGCGGTCATTCTAAGGTTTCCCAACGTCAAACCTTAGTGCTTGCTCTCCTTCCCTGACAGGAGGAGAGCAAGCTTATAGCAGTCAACAATACACCATTGATATAGGTTGCCGCTTGTAGTAACATCTAAATTATCAGGACCACTTAAAAATTATTAAATCTGTAATCCTTAGTGCAGGGGAAGAGATAATTAAGTAGTCTCTGTGGCACAGGGGTAAGACACTCGCCCAATGCTTCGGGAGCACTTTGACTTGGGTTTGTGTCCTGGCCGGGGAGGATTGACCAGGTGTCAATCCTTAACTGTAGCCTCTGTTCACCCAGCAGTGAATGGGTACCTGGTTGTTAAACGATTTAGCCGGTCTTATTTTGGGGGGAAATTGGGATTAAGGACCTGCCCAAAATGCTGTGTGCTAGTGACTTTACAAGAATGTAAGCACTCGTGTACTGTATATATAAATACAAATAATAAAAAATAATTACAAAATAATTAATAATTTATACTTTAAAAATATTAAAAATGACTGGTCTCAAATCTGCACACACAAATACCACTACACAAGACCAGAAGGCATGACAGGATATGCAAAATAGCACCATTGAAAAGCAGAGGTGCAATAGGTAAGCAGAGAAAGAACTCTTATCAACATAAGGGCCCAAGAGTTTTCATCCTTCTCCCTTTGTGCATAAGGGCCATAACTGGCTATCCTCTTAGTCTTCAACCTTCAAAGAATACCTGATCAACCAGGCTGTGATTCACATGTCAGGCTGTGAGCAGCCATGTCCAACAGCCTGGTTGACAAGACCACCAACCAGGCCATGGGGATGTTGATCCTTGGAATCGTCGCAAAGTAAAGCAAGGTCGGGGTAGAGCTGCGGATGCTGATGTAGTTTCTAGAAGAGTACTCACTACACAGTGAGTACTCTTCACTCTGAGAGTGCATATATTTGTGTGTGTGTTTGAGTGAAAGAGCATGTATAATTACCTAAGTGTAGTTACAGGATGAGAACAATGGTTGTGGTTTCCTGTCTTCCCAGTATTGTCATATGACACTTTGAAACTATTAATATGGGTGTATGTATTAATGTGTCATTACAATATATTATGTGAATTGTGGCGAGATAATAGCATCTTGAGATTTAAACCTTTGCTCATCACATAAATTAAATATCTTTCTTAAAGCACAAACCACTTCATACAGGTCACTACAACTCCACCTGTTGCACTTTCAACTGGTAATTATTACCAACTTGTTGAAAAGTACTGTACAATAGTCTGTTATCAGCTCACAGTCTGGGTTCCCGGGTTTGATCCCCAGGAGGTTAAAAAAAAGTTTGGCACATTTCCTTTTATTCGATGCCTTCGTTCACCTGACAGTAAATAGTTACACAGAAGTTAAGCAACTGTATGGACTACATACTGGGTAAGGTCAATAGTTTGACCTAGGGGGGACCTTGCTTCAAGTACAGGCTTTCATTCTCCAGCAATGAGAATTATTATACTGTTCACTTGTGGTGGTGATTAGCATTTATTTATTTATTTATTTATTTATTTATTTATTTACAAGAAGGTACATTGGGTTTGTGAGAATACATAGCATTTCACAGCAAACATTTCACTTGCAAAACATCACATGTTGTGACAGTATGCTGCCACCCGCCAAACACACACCGAAACTACAACGTTGGAACAACGTTCGAACAAGTTTTAACACCTACTAACCAGTTATAACAACCAATGTAGCAAGTTGTAACAACGTTCTAATACGTCATAAACACGTTAAGCCAAGATGTAACAACTTTATTACAAGTTGTAACAAGCGGAAAATAGAGAGAGTTTCGGTTTGTGTTTCCAGGGTAAACATCACTTGCAGTGATGCGTTTCCAGAAAGTTGCTTAATGTGGTAACTTGTAACATCAACTGCACTTTTTACTTAATAACATAAGGAAGTTGTGGTGATAGGAGTGGTGTATCTCTGGCAGGGAGGAGGAGGAAGCAATGAAGGCGTGGTTCCTGAAGACCCCTATCATGAAGAAGAGAGCTAAGTACCTGGAGGAGGAACTGGAGGCCCAGGGACTGAAGGGCAAGGGTGCCAAGAAGCCAGAAGCTAAAAAACCTAAAGGCAAAAAAGGAAAAAAAAAGAAAAAGAAATAATTGCCTACTCAATGGAAGCTGTTAGTAATATAAAGTTGAAGTGGTCAACTTTCCTGTTCTGAAATATTCTGTATTTCCCAAGTTATTACTGAATTTGTGTACAAACAAGTTGCAGTTGTTGCAATAATGTTACTTATAAATCATAGAATGCTTCAAAAAATATGTTCACTGCATTGTCTTCCACCACCAACATTGTCAAAGATAGGAAAGATAATGTTCTAGTGCCACATATTTGCATGCATATATTAACAGTGTATAATTACTGGCAAGAGCATTACCAAAGCAGCCAGAGTAGCTTAAAGATATATTTTCAGATGATTTTCTACTGCAGAGTTTTTTGTCTTAAAGTAGTGACAGGTTTGTAGAATCTGAAGAATGATTAGGGAGTATTCACTCAAAAAGAAACCAGTCTTCAGACACAATGAAGTTGTTATTGATTTGGAGTTTGTGAAAGGACAAAATCTGAAGGAATCTAGTGTGTATTGAAAGTAGAGGATTATGTAATTGGCAGTGCTGTGGTTGAGGCCTGACCTGTTAGTCTCTCCTACAACATACCAGTCTCTCACAGGGTGTCTCATTCTTGCCTGGGATGCTTCAACACTACCAAGGATGTTCCCACTGCCTAGGATATCTTGGCACTGCCTGGGATATCCCAGCAATACCTTGGGTGTCCTGTCACTGTCCGGGGTGTTCCAATCCCACCTGACTAATGGCTTGTCACTTCTGCCCAGAATGTCTTAGACCCACCTAGTGTGTATCAGTCCTTCCCAAAGAGTTTTGACTCTGCCTGGGGTATCAATTCTGTACTGGGTGTCCTAGCCCTAACCAAGGTATCTCGGCACCACTTGGAAAGTCCCAGCATCCATACCTTGCCTGGTAAGGACAGGGAAGTAACCCCTCCATTACTTAAATGAATTCCATTTAAAAGTACAGTATTCATTTCTGACTAGTACTGTATACTACATATGTGCTGGAATCATCATTTGCATAATAAAAGAGCAGAATAATAATATTTTAGTTGTTACTTTATTCCTGACCATTATACAAATGTTTGTTTATGGTAATAAGAAGATTAAGAACAATCAATACATAGCTAAAAAATTATATACTAGTACAGTAATTGAAAAATTCAATCATGACTTAAATAGGTTGATATTAATGAATTTAATTATTACTCCTTTAATATATATTTTTTATTTGATTCTAGCATGGAAGAAAACAGACTACAGTATTTGCAAATTTTACAAAGAAAAACACAAAAGCCATTTTTATTTAATCTTGCTAAAAAAAAATGCAATGCTGTATACAGAATTAAGTATTATTTAGAATACAGAACATGTGTAATTTATTTTGATGCATAACAAGCTTAATAATTAACTATAAATTTAAATGCAAATAATTATTTGTTACCAAATATGAAAGTTGTATTAACTACTAGACATGTATACAAAAATAAATAATTAGAAAATTAAATTTTATAGAGCAGGTGTGTGGGTGGTGCACTGGAGCATCAACATACATCTATCTGATCAGGTGTGCCACACCACTGGCTAATATGTACACTGGACTTGGTAGGAAGGCTGCATCCCAGCCTTAATGTGTACCTTGCTCAGCGAGGAACTTCATCAAATGAACTTTTGACATTAAGGGAAAGAAAGTGGTAATTCAGCTGTGCAAATCTCTGGTACACCCTGTTAATACTTGGATAGAGTAGTCCTTAAGACCACCTAAAAAAACTGACATATCTGCTTTGGAAAAAGTTAAATGCACAGTATCATCAGGACAAATGAGAGAATCTTTTGACAAGTCATTGGCTTCCTGACCACTAGAAAGTTAGTGGTCCTTTGGTAAATTCAGGTAATAAAAATTATCCCAGAAAAAAGTCAACTCTTAAGCCAGCAACAGTTGAGGGCCACAGGACCAACAGCACTGTAAACCAGACAAGACGGGGCTGATCTCGTTGGAAACTTTAAAATGCTGAACAAATTGGAGGATATTAATCAAAACCACATCTTTAAAAGGTCCACTGTATCACAAGGGGTAACAGTTTCAAGCTTAACAAGCCACAGTATAGGACAGCAAACAAAGATGCTTTTTCACCCATAGGATTATTAACCCATGGAGTTGTCTACCCATTGAAGCCATAACTGTCAAGACATTATTTCAGTTTAAAATTCCATTAGTAAAAACTCTCAGTAGCCATTGACAAGCTGCTTGCTTGCTTGCTGTTCCTGCCAAGGCCACTAGAGATAGTGTCCCTCAGCTAAATTCAATGTGTACTTAGCAAGGCCTTGGCTTAGCAAGGATGCCACACACCTGTCCACATTGTGCCTGGCTCAGCAGTGATACCACACACCTAGCCTCAACATCTACCTGGCCCAGCAGGGATACCATACACCTGGCCTTAACATGTACCTGGTTCAGCAGGTGTGCCACACACCTGACCTCAACGCTGATAAGAGAACAGTGACGAAGTATTGTTTATGCTACCGAGTGCATAAATTAAACATTCTCAGTAACTACAGAACAGCATGATCCAGAATATTAAATAAGCTTAATTATCATTAAAGGATTAAGTACAACACCAAACAGTGTTCATCATATTTACAGACAAAGAAACAGTCTTATATATTAAGTTTTTCATTTTTGAGGGCCTTATAAAAATTATTTTGAACAGAAAATATTTAGATTTAATGTATGGCATGTTGGTGTATGAGGGGGGTCCTATGACATTTAACACCCGGCATGTTCTGCGGTGTGTGGCCGATGTGTGGGGTCAGTAGTTAAGCTGGTGGCCCACTACCTGGCTGATACAGGTGGGCTTATTAACCAGCAGCCACAGGAGGCCCACTACCTAGAAGCCACAAGTGGCTCACTACTCAGTAGCCATTGGTAGCCCACTGTTCAGCAGTCATGTGTGGCCCATTATCTGGGAGCCATAGGTGGCCCACTACCCGGCGACCACTGGTGGCTCAGTTCTCGACATTCATGGGCAAATAATTAGCTTTTCATCCTAGTGAGGTTTTTCTAAAGTTATCCCATGTATTCATAGACAAGTGGAGTGTGCACGTGGTGCTTTATAATACATGGATGTATTGTATACCCATCAGTTTAGGAAAGGAGCCTATGACAAAGGATCATTTAGATCATTAAATGGTTATAAGGAAAAATGTACTGTATTGCAAAGTAGCAATACAGTGTGATACAGAGTATCACACTAACGTGACCACATCAATGAGAAAAATCAGTATTTTACGGATTTTCTCACACTAACACATGCGGTCACTGTGTATTGAAAGAGGAGCATCAGTGGTAAAACATTTCTAGATAAATAGCCAGAGTTCATAGCGAGATTGTGTGAAAATTCTGGTCCAGCTTCAGTGGAAGCCTCGGGAAACATTCGTGTGTTCAGAAGAACTCCAGGTTGCATTCCCTATACCATGTCATAGCTTAGTTGTCTCGAGTGTGTGCCTGGGAACACCCAGCACATAGGTTCAAATCCTCATCACAGTTCCTAATGATTTTCTCATTTCCATTATTATTATTTTATTATTATTACTTTTATTATTATTATTATTGTTGTTATAAACGAATAACAATGTTGAAAAAATGAGAGGCAGTGAGAGGTTAGCATCACGCAGATTAAAAACGACAGTAATAATTACTAACCGGAAAACCTGTTTTATGGAGTAATAACTACAGTATGGAATAAAGAACTGAAGGAGCAGATGGGACTAATAACACATGTTTGTCATAATGTGTACAGAGAGATACTGTATTACAGTATACCCAGTACGTATATGCAAATATAAACATTGACATAAGTTTTTACCAAGATTTAAGACAGAAATTTGGAGAAGTAATGTGACAAATATTGAAGCTTAAGATTAAAAGCATGCTGGTTTAACTTGAGATAATGTGAAGAATATGATGAATTTGAGTTGGAGAATGGATAGTGTGCAACAGGGACAGTAGTGTGTAGCAGGGATGGTAGTGTGCAGCATGAATTGGATTGAGGTACATAAAAAATGAGGCATGAAGTGAGGAGATCCCTAAGAGGTGAGGCAGCAGGAAGGAAAGTGAGAATTTCATTTTCATGGGTCCTTCTTGTGGGAAGGCCCCATAAGAATTGTGCAAAATGAGCAGCACAACAAAAAAGCAGAAGAGGATCCATGTGGCGGCATCTCCCATAGGATACCCCATTAGTGGAAGGAACTATTGCTGTCGGAGTGGCAGCTCGGGAATGTGTTGGGTGGGCTGTGGCTCGGGGGGCAATGTAGGGTATGAGGGCTGGCCGCCATCATCAGATGACACAGGACGGAGTTTGATTTCTGTAGCTCTGAGTGAGTAGTCGCCCAACCAGAGCTCCCAAATAATGCCGCGGTAGTAGTCATTGTCTTTAGGGTCAATGTGGTACTCTCCATTCAGGTTACTCTCAAAACAACTATTGGAAAGAAAAAAATTAGGTACAGTATTCTGTAATTAAAATTGTATACAAGTTAATAAGTACATAAATGACATTGATAACATGTTATAACACTAGCCATGATCGCAAAGATTCAAATCCTTTTCCTACTGATATCTCACCACCCAAATAAGGATTCAAATCGTCTTTCTTTTGACATCCAATGACCTTGGCCGTATCAACCAGACAAAATCATGATTTCTATGAGCATGCCATTACTCTGATCCATAAGACCCTTCTTTGAGGTGTTTTAAGACCAAGTTAAACACCATCATGATTTTAAAACCAAGTTATTCACCATCATTTTAAGGAGCTACAAGAGCCTTGTATTTTAAAACTTGATAGTTTTTAATAATAAATATGATACAATGCATATGTTGTACTGATGTAAGGCAGTGCAGTTAAAATAAAAAAAAAATAAAATGTTTATTTAGGTAAGGTACATACATACAATAAATTTTTACAAAGATTGGTTGACTTATAGGTAGAGCTAGTACATACAATGCCTAAAGCCACTATTACGCAAAGCGTTTCGGGCACGATAAACTTAAATGATAAGCTTAATACTAATTGAGCATAATGAGTAGAATGAAAACAAGAAATGAAAACATAGATGAAAAAGCAGTACAAATACAATTATGTCGACAAACAGCCCTCTTTAAAGAAAAACAGACATTGGTTGACAATAGAAGGGTAGGGTAGGTTACAGGGAATTTATTAGCTATAGCTTCGTTTTTAACTTAAACTGGTTGAGAGAGGTACAGTCTTTAACATGGTTGGGAAGGTCATTCCACATTCTGGGCCCCTTGATTTGTAGAGCATTTCTAGTTTGATTAAGTCGTACTCTAGGAATATCAAAACTGTATTTATTTCTGGTGTGGTGCTCATGGGTTCTGTTACAACCTTCTATGAAGCTTTTGAGATCAGGATTGGCATTATAGTTTAGCGTTTTATATATGTATAATACACATGAGAGAATGTGCAGTGACTTAATGTCTAACATATTCAGAGATTTGAGTAGGGGTACCGAGTGATGTCTGGGACCAGAGTTGGATATTGTCCTAATAGCAGCTTTGTGTTGAGTAATTAGAGGACGTAAGTGATTTTGTGTAGTAGAGCCCCAAGCACAAATACCATAGTTGAGATATGGATAGATAAGGGAGTAATAGAGAGTCACCAGGGCAGGGCGTGGTACATAATATCTGATCTTAGAAAGAATGCCCTTAAGTTGACCCTTAATAGCTTTTTTGAGACTGCATTCTTCCATTTAGGGCCACTTATGAGCATATGCTCTGAACAAATGCTAAAAACCATGCAAAAAATGATCTGAAAATTGACTTTGTGTTTCACTGATCTGTAATCTGTTATATTTAGAAGTAAGACTAGCAACTGAGATATTAAAACCCACCTGTAAAACCACCAACCCCCACCATATGCAGGAGCACAGGGGCAGCACTCTGGAGCCTCGTCATTGTCTTTGTCGAAGGTTGAGAATAGGTAGCCATTGTGTGCTGAAAAGCTGTCAGAAGCATTGCCACGGTACCCAAACACGTTGAGACGGTAGTTGTCGGCCTCAGCCCCAATACTGTAAGCAGAAGGGAAGGTAAATGGGAGGTAGATGGGTGGGGGTTTACTGTCTGTGGTGCATATAAGGTGGGTGGTGTGTATATATTTCTGGAACTAACCACAATTACAAATATTTCAAGGGGGCAGAGGGAGTGTTTGGCTGGAATTTATTTATTTTTGTATTATTTTTTATTTTTTTACCTTTTGACATTTCCCAGTTGACATATACAACAACAAGCAGGTCAGGCATGACATGTTATGAATGTGAGGATGTAACATACCTGAAGCTGAGGTACTCAGCGTAGGCATATCTGCCCTCGAAGTCCCAGAGGTCAAAGCGAATCATCATCTCCTGGTCTTTCACCAATCTGGAAACACCATTGTGTGTTTTAAGTTTATTTTGGTAGGATTTAGGGCCAGGTACTTGAACCAGTTAAGTTATTCAATGCCATGTTTTCCATAAAACATGACCCATCATTTGTTTAAATTTTTGAACCAGATATTTCTGGCTGCATTTACATTACAGTATGTACTGTACAGTACAGTACATTACAGTACTGTATAGTTAATTATCCAGCTTCTAATGCTGACTTTTTGAGATGGAACAGATTTGCTTGTGAGATCAAGCCTTTTTTTTTTTTTTTTTTTTTTGGCAGGGATATTCCTGCGCGAATATCCTGCGCGGGCCCTAAGCCTTTGGCTGGCCCACTAAGTGTTGAGATCAAGCCTTGAAATACATCATCCTGACTACCAGCATAAAATGTATACAATATGTTAATTACACATTCATTTAAATGTATATTTTATCATAACTTCATCACTTTTGGTAATAGGTATGTACAGTACTAAACAGGTATAGTGAAATTATACTTTGTGCATTATCTTGTAATTTTTAATCCTTACCTTGATGAACATCAATGTTAATCACTGTGTATGATATCAATTGGTGATTTATACATCATAGTGTATGATATACATTAGGGCTTTATACATCACAGTGTACGATATACTTGGGTGCTCTACAGGCGGGAGCACCCACACTCCTTGTTCTCAATTGACAATCAGGAATTTCGTTTTCGAATCTCTTTGAACATTTCCTATCACCTAATGCACTGTTCACTTACCAGTAAATAGGTACTCAGGAGCTACTCAGCTTGTTGTGGGGTTGCATCCTGGGGAGAGGTCAGTAATTCAACCCTTGGGGATGACCTCATATAAGACTAACATGTATATTCTGTACAGATATACACTGGTTGCTCCGACACAATGAATTATTATTATAAAACGCCTCATTAAGGTAAGCTGAGAGCATGTGGTAAACAAGACAGTTATTACCTGTAGATGTTGTCGTTGCCCCAGTAGAACTCTCTAGTAATATCCCCAAATCCGTCCTTGTATTGTTGCCAGTTTCGGGTGAAGTTCAGGTATGGAGGTCCAAACATACCTCGACGCTGGATCACCGTCCACCCCCCATCTCCTGTCTCCAGGTCACAGTACCTGCAGTAGTATGGTAGGGTGGAGACTTGTGCTTGGGGTGTTGAACTAGGTGGTTAAGGTCAGCAAATTTCTAGACTTATGACTTTACTAATGCTGGGCTCAGGTTCAACTCTTAAGTACCTCGTGGAGTTTGTCTCACCTGCTGATGTAGATCTGACCCAAAAACTTTGTCAACATAACTATTTATATACCTTATGCCATAATGTAAATGAATTGAAAAGATCTGAGTTTAGAGGCAACTATATCATCAATGTTCAAGAAATGTCCATATAATTTATTTGGGATGACATACTACTAAAAATCTTGTCCAAGTATCCTAAGTTTGCCTATTGCAGATAGTACATACACTGTAAGTCTCACTTGCTTATCTCAAGATAACGTACAGTAATGTTAGCTACAATACTTACTGAGCTTACCACAATAGCTTACTAACCAACCAGCAAGTATACTTAACTCCTGAACATAGTCCAGGACTAAAGTAAACTCATTGTATATACACCAAGGAAAGGGGTATAATTCTTGATGTACAGTAACTTTGCTAATATGCTTATTTAGATAATACATTATTTACCACAACATGTATAACACACATTATCTGACATAAAAAACATAAGTATATTTATTCATTCATAATGTTATTTTCAACAATAAATTTATTGATGGTTGTATAGCTTGAAATATTAAAAGTGAGTGAAACAGTGGTTGAAGAATAGCTGGTGTACCTGGTGTAGTAATCATGCCCCTGGTGAACATGATGCAGTGAGCCGGGGCTGAAGTTGAAGAGTGTGCTACGGGAGACCCCTTCTGTCAGCAGGTCAGAACAGTCCCTTACACCTCTGCTGCTGCAGGAACCAACATTCTTACTGATACATCCTCATATACTCCCCATCTTGTTATTTCAAGGGAAAATTACTTAAATTATAGTTTTTTTTTTTTTGAGGGGGGAAGGGGAGTGAACAAGTAAATCCCAAACGTCTGAAATGACATTAATGATCTATTTATTTATATATACTGTATATATATATATATATATTGCAGGAATGCAAAATTATACTTACAGATAGCACTATGCAGAGAAGTTTGGTGAGATTTGTGTTTAATCTATGTTAGAACAGTTCCATTTTATGTCTGTTATTTCATTAAGTCATTCTCAAGCTCATTCTACTTTATCATATTATTTATTGAGTATATGTGACATAGTGGGACGCCTTGACCACTGGAGGGCATGACCTCGCACATTCACTAAGTGGCTACTACAGGCTAACAGCATATGATGAGTCCTCAGGCTGGGTAATACACACATATACTCAGCCAAGCTAAAGCCAACGAGCCTCCAGTGCTCTTGCAATAGTTTGGTTACAAGAGTGCATATCAAAGCATTGACAAAAGAAAAACCCATCTACTCCTCTTTGTTGAGGTGAGAGTGTGCAGTTAATGATGGACACATAGCAGCTACTGGAGATTACAAATACATTTTAGGAAAATGGAAGTCACTTGAAGTGATCGCAAAGGCAGGTATGGTAGCAGACGTTCACATGGCACTCTGAGAGTTGGAGCTTTATAAGATGTTTTGAATCATCTTTCAGAGATTTTATCGCAGGCTCAGAAATGTGAAGGAGTAGCAGCCATATTGGCAACACTCACAGGTCTGAGGCAGTCGATGTTTGGTTGATAATGCTTCGTCTGGCTCGGCCTACACGCGACCCATCATGTTGCTGCCGTTCGGTACCCATCCTTGGGCGACCTCTACGTCTTGACTTCTTATGGTAGAATACATGAGAGCCTTTTTTCTTACCCCTCCTAGGCTGGGTTGACTTTCTGTTTAAATCCTTTTTTACAGAGTGGGTGTTGGTTTTTATAATTTTGCTCTGAGGTGGGTCATGAAATCGATATCTGTAACGGGTTCGAAATCTGTGGCCCTCTCCGCCTTGCAACGTGTGTATTTCGGGTTCAACTTCTGGAAGCTCAACTTGATTTCTGACATTCTCTATTCTGGAATTAAGATCTTTTAGGAATAATTTGTTGTGCCTCTCTAGCTCTACACGTGAGCACAGGTATACAGTACTGATGACATTGAAATCGTCTGGGGAAACGTCGTTAAACACAGTACTGTACAGTACAACATGCCAGTGTTTTAAAGGCTCCTGTAATAGTCAGGTCAGGAGAGCGGTTAATGTGAAGATATTCCACAGTCCTGTTTTATTTAAAAAATAAAACAAAAGAGAGAATATTAACCTCATGTATAAATAATTGAGGATATTCTTTTTTAAAGCATGTTAGGTCATCATTAACACTCGATTACTAAATCATTAACTGCTGTGACACATTGGGTGTAAGAGAGTTTACCAACCTGGAGGAGGTGGGCAGCGGGTGAGCCGTTGGGATATACTGTGGTGTCCTGGCTGCTGGTGTGGGGGGTGTTCTGGGTGCTGGTGTGGGGGGTTGTGCTGGTGGTTCCCTGGGTGTGTAGGGTTCATCCTCCCTGGGAGAATAAGCTGGCTCTTTTGGGGTGTAGTCCCCATCTCTTGTTTTGCTACCACCACCAGCACAGTGCTGTAAGATGAGGTTCCTGGATTCTTCGAACCTCTCCTGGATGATGTTGCGCAGAGCCAAAAATTGGTTGGTCATCTGACCTAGCAGCTGCTCACTTGCATATGCTGTGTTGCCCACCGCCTGCCACATAACCAAAAATATTAGTCACTACCCATAGGATATTTGATGGTTGGCAGTAGAACAATGAATGTACTGTACAATTGAAAGTTTAGAAAAACCTATCTACAGTATATGATGCAGAATACAGGAATTGTAAGATTTAAATTTAAATATTTCCCATAGAACTGATTTGCCTGCCTCATCGGTGATTTGTAATTACTTATACTGTATATGTTTTGCCATGCTAATGTACATGTAGAAACTGTTGATACAATAACATTGACTATTATTCAGCTGGAGTCATGGCCCACCTGTGAGACTTTCTCAATGCTTGCTGACTGGTCATTGATAGCAACTCTGGTTATCTCCATCTCCTCCCTCAGTGCCTGGTCCAGTGGCCTGAGCTTCGTCTGCACCACCCCGCCAACTTCTGCTATGTAGCTCTCCATATTAGTTGACTCATTACATGACCTTAAAAGAGTGAATGAGGCAGTGTTGGCTTTATGTTGTTTTACTTGTGCTGAATACTTCAAGAAAGGAGCAGCAAGTTCAGCAGAAAACTACAGACTAAATAGCCTAACATCACACAATGGCAAGATCATACAGAAAATCACCAAGTTGACAATCATTCATCTCCCCTCTCAGTACACAATCTTGTAAAGCATAACACCATGGCTTAGTCAAAAATTAATCCTGCATGAAAAGTGAACATGCTCACTTTTGTAGAAACAGTAACTAACTGGTAGTACATCATCATAATAATTCATTGTGTCGAAGGACAGGAAGCCAGAGTGTATTCATACATGTAAGGCTTTTATCTAGGGGACCCCTCCTTCAAGGTTGAATTACTGACTCTGCTCAGGATACAACCTCACAACAAGCTGACTAACTCCTGAGTACCGACTTACTGCTATGTGAACATGTGCAATAGGTGAAAGGAAATGTGTCTAACCATTTTTGTCCTTGCAGGATTTGAATCTGGAATTCTTGTACTACCGGGGCCCTAAATATGTAGAGGAAATGGATTTCTTTAAAGCTTTTGATAAGATATCCTATAAGAAAGATGGCACAGAAACTATAAGCACAGGGATAAACAGTCAAATGCTAGAATGGATAAAACATGGTTTAAAACAGAGAAAGTAAAGGGTAGTCCAAAATGGAAGTGAATGTAATATTACACATAACAGTTCATTTTACACAAGAGGAGTGAACAATAACAATACCCATGGTAATATGTTTTATAGACTGAGTGAGGTCTCATACTTTTGCACGGCAGCAAGCTGGTTCTCAAACACGCGGAACCGTCTCTTCATTTTCTTGAAGGGGGAAAAGAGGCTCTTCCAAAACCTGGCGAATAGGTGTTCAGGTGAAGGATCGTCATCTCCGTTGCCTCCATTTTCTCCACTGAGTCCATGGCTGTAGCCCTTATTAGGAGCCGTCATGGCTGCAGGACGCTGGTGAAGGTGGCCTAGGATATATGCAAAGCAACATTGCTTAATTGATTTGCAGTGAAAATTTAAGAGTGAATATAGTACAGGAATACACAAAATTAAACTAATACCCTGTATTATAATTCCTTTATGGTATACTGTACTAGAAGGGGTGTTTAGTATTGCCCAGGTCTTTCCTACACACCTTCCTACACACCTCTTCCCCTGTCACTGTAACAATCTTCAATAATCACACTTGCTCTCTGTCAACATCTTCACACCTTCTACATTCCCCCAACACCCTCTCCAAGTCCCCAAACACACCCTCCCAATATTTTCACACAAACAGTCCCCAGTTCCACACCTGCCCCCATACACGCCTTTGCCCCATCTCGCCCCTCCCTGGCCACACATGCTGCCCCTTACCCTGTATGCTCTTCCCTCCATGCCCACACATGCCCTTCCCTCATCTCATCCATCCTTGTCCACATATGTCCTTATCTCCATACCCATACACTCCTTTCCCCATCAATGTAACCAAAGGGTTTCACCCAGAATTCCAATCTGCCATCTGAATGTATATTTTGAAAATCAATACAGTACTGTATGTTAATTCACTATTATTTAAACTAATGTTAAAGTCTATGGACTCTACATTGAACATTTCACATCCCCAGACTTTGTGAAGGAGAGGCATTTGTGGTGTGCCCTCCCCTTCACGGGGTCACTGGGTATCCCGAGCCCCCCCCCCTCTTCTTTCGCTATGACACTCCTGATAAAATAAACATTGGTCCTATAAAGTTTAATGAGGCTAGCCCCTAGCGTCTTGCCACCAATCATGCTCAGACGTTCTTTATAAATACAGAATAGATGTTTTCATTCAAGGCATTGGTCATTTGGGTTATACTATACTGTATAATGAGTTTTTTATGATTGTTTGTATTTTGTTAGTGTTGTGAATGGGGTTTGTTGAGACAAAGAAATAGAGGCAGGAACAGAGACAGATGGTTATCAAATAAAATAGTTATTTGAACTCCACAAATGGTCAGAAGACTGGCAAATGCTTTTTAATATCGAAAAATGTAAGACTTTGCATGTGGGTCATAACAACCTACGTTACAACAGCAGATTGATGAATAAAAGGACATTGGAGTCGAAATCCACCATCCACTGAAAGTTACACAACAGATAGGAGCAGCAGTAAAAAAGACAACCAACCCCAAGGAATTATCAAGCATAACTTTGACTTTAAGGATAAGAAGGAAGTGACTTTATAAATCTCTGGTTCGCCCCAACTTGGACTGATGTATCCAAGGTTGGAGACCTCATCTTTAGAAGGACATAGCTGCTTTGGAGAGAATACAGCACCAGGCGACAAAAGCCATTCCGTAACTAAGTCAACTCTCGTACCAGGAACGGTTGAGGGCCACAGGGCTAACAGCACTGCAGAACAGGGATGACAGGGCAGATCTCATCAAAACTTTTAAAATAATGAACAATTCGGAGGATGTTGATCCAGACAATTTCTTCAAAAGGTCAGATGTAACACAAACTAGGAGCAACGGTTTCATGCTCAACAAGCCACATATGTAGGACTGAAAACAGGTGATGGTTTTTCACCCACAGGGTTATAAACCCACGGAACCGCCTACCAGCCGAAACCGCAAATGTCAAATCTTAAAATCTAGCTGGAAAAAATCATTAGGGCAAATAGGGGGACCTTTGACTAGTGTCTTTCAGGTAAAAGATGTTTGTTTTGCGATGCAGAAAGTGACACATCTAGGGCAGATCACTTACTGACGAAATAGTCGTAGTCGTAATCGGGGTCAGTGAGTCGGTCGAAGACGAGGTCCACCTTGGCACTAACATCCTGCAGCCTGCGGGAGTCCTGAGGGTGTAGGTGGCACGCTCCTGGCTCTCCTGGTGGGCAGACAGGCCGATGGATGTTACTATAATTTTTTGTGGGGACAGGCAGCCAGTATATACACACAGTACATGTTAGGCTTATATTGCGACCTCCCCCTCCCCCCATGGGTCGAATTACTGACCCAAGGATACAACCCCGCAACAAGCTGACTAACTCCTGGGTAGGTATTTACTACTAGGTAAACAGAGGCATTAAATGATGGGAAACGCCCCCAACCATTTCTGTCCCGCCCTATGTCTCAAATATTATTATTCTCTGCTTTTACTGGTTATTAGTTGCACGGTAACTGAAACGTGAAAATTTAATGAAATTTCAATTGTTTACATATCGAAATTACTCTATTTTTGTACAAATTGATAAGCACTGATAAGATGCATGCAAAAACTTTATATCTATTATTTCAGTATTAATGAAAAATACGGATATACATATAATTAATTATTGCATGTGTGGAAAAGGAGAAACTACTGACCATCAAATCCAGTAGTGAAGGTGATTCCTGGCTCAGGCTCCACAGTGGGCCGCACCTGCCGGTACCTCGACCCGTGTACCTGCTGGGGGAAGACATGCACCGTCAGGATCCTCTCACTCACTGACATACACCCTTACTCACAGAGACACATTGAGAGGACGGCAGATTTTGTACTCTGGCAAATCGAGAGAATGAGCTCACCAAACACACACAATCAGGATACCCAGTTCACTTACGCATTGACACGCACTGTCCGGACCCTCGCATTGTCCGGACACGCACTGTCTGGACCCTCGCATTGTCCGGACACGCACTGCCTGGACCCTCGCATTGTCCGGACACGCACTGTCTGGACCCCTCGCATTGTCCGGACACGCGCTGTCTGGACCCTCGCATTGTCCGGACACGCACTGTCTGAACCCTCCCATTGTCCGGACACGCACTGTCCGGACCCTCCCATTGTCCGGACCCTCGCATTGTTCGTACACACGCACTTTCCGGACACACGAGACGCACTATTAGGACACCATCAACTAAAGACACGAACCGCCAAGACACTCACAGGCTCCCAACATCATGACGCTCTCACACACAGACAAGCTCACTCTCCCCCCGCAAACACAATTAGGTGAATACAGACATGTTGTAGTGTAAGGGCACAACGTCATCTATGAATGAAGTCTATTTACATCTTGGTGTTTTCCTACATTGTTCTCAACACTTTAGGTTCTTGATATCCAAATCACACATTAGAAAATGAAGAAACGATCATTTTCTGATGCGTGATTAGGATTTCATATCTTGTCACGTTATTGTGACTAAGCCTTTCTGTAACCAACTAAATTTAATGTATAGGAAAAGTTCAAATGTTTAATATGATATCAGAATTTCCTGAATGTATATATTTTTATTTTTTATTTATTTATTTTTTTTGTCTTTTATCTATACATACAAGAGTTCTAACATTCTTGTAAAGCCACTAGTACGTATTGCTTTTTGGGCAGGTCCTTAATCTAAATTTTCCCTGGAATACGACCCACCAAATCGTTTAACATTTAGATACCAATTCACTGCTGGGTGAACAGAGGCGTTCAGTTAAGGATTGACACCTAGTCAATCCTCCCCGGCTAGGCTACAAACCCAGGTCAAATCGTTCGCGAAGCTTTGGACGAGTGTGTTACCACTGCGCCACGGGAAACTTCTTACCACTGCATATAATTCGTACAGCTCTGTACACATATAGGGAGTGGTACCTACTCTGGGTCTCTTATATGTGTTGTATTCTGGGACGCCACTGCTACTGCTGCTGCTTCTATTGCTGCCGCCGCCGCCGCTGCTGCTGCTGCTGCTGCTGCTGCTGCTGCTGGAGGGCCCAGCATTTGCCAGGCTGTGTGTGATGTTGTCGAGCTTGTTCTCGATCTGTACCAGGGAGGAGAGGAGGCCCCGGCCAGCGAACTCTGTGATGATCGGGTGCTCTGGGGAGTTCATCTGTTTCTTCACCCAGTTCACTGTTGAGTCCACCTGTGGGGAGGAGGAGGAGGAGCTGGCGTCACTGGTGGGTGTGTTAGGAGTGGTGTTGGTTACTGTTGAAGGGTAAGGAGTCACCTCTTGCATTCCTGTACTCACCCCTGCATGCCTGTACTCACCTCCTCAACGCGCTCTGACACCTGCTCCACCTTGAACTCGAGGCGCGTCATGGCGTTGATTTTCTTGTCTAACGCCGTCAGCTTGTGGTTGAGGGCGTCGACGGCGTTAAGTCTGACCTCCCAGGAGTCTTGCTTCTCGTGACACCTGTATATATCCAGGAACTCTTAGGCGCCACCAGCTACATGTCATCTGTTTTGTTAAGTTACCCAGGTGGATGTGAGGAGAATGGGAATCTTGTGGAGGGTGTGTGTGTTGTGGCTGTAGAGAATGTGTTGTGAATGTGGAGGGTGTGTGTTCTGTGAATGTGGAGGGCGTGTGTGTTGTGGATGTGGAGGGTGTGTGTGTTGTGGATGTGGAGGGTGTGTGTGTTGTGAATGTTTGGGGTATCAGTGTGTTTCGTCTGGGTCAAAAGTGTTCCCACCTGTTGAAAGCAGTGCCTTTCGATGCATTAAAAAATTACCTGCAAGGTACGCTAGGAGTTCATGATGACTTATGGTGACTGATGTCGCAGCTATTTTTAATATGACCACAATAAATTTAGATTTTGATTTATTTAAATTTAACCAATCTGTATAAAGCCTTACTAAATTATTGAGGCGCAAATTACACGAAACTTGTGCCGAGTGACACTAGGCTAGCCCGGTGTCTATTATTCAGTATTGGAATACAGTTAAAGCATTTTTTCTTAGAATAAGATTACATACTAAAAAAAATTAATAATTGGTAGTGTAGGTACGAAAGACATTCGTAAGTAATTGTTTCACCTATTTAGAATATCCAGTTTTCGCTCCATGGTCCTGGATTGGTCAGTCCAGACGGCCATATGGTTCTGAATGTTGTCCCAGGTACTGGCCCGGTCAGCAATGCTCCTCACTGTGGCCTCCAGGGCTGCTATTTTGGCCGAGCTGCTGGACAGTTCCCTCTCCAGCTTGTTGATATATAGTCCGTTGAACCGCTCCAGCTGACCTGCCACACAAGATGCTTGTTAGTGTTATATCTACAGTCTGGAGGTGTTGCGAGGCGAATTGCCAGGTCACTGTGTATGTCCTCAACCCGTCCTCGACTCAAGTCCATTACATCCAGCGGGCTACCCCACATCCATAAATTTTAACATGCTGTTCATTCAAAACGGAAATTTTCTCAAATATAAATTATGATAAAATATTAGCGTGTTGTGCATATATAGGCATAGACTAGGTTAGATGTTTAGGTTCTGTTGGCGATTATTTGTATTTGTAGTTCGTGGGTGAAACATTTATAGCGTTGTGGTTCGAACAAAAGTCGTCAGTGAAGCACTTGTTCCGGAAGTGTTCGAACGTCATCAGTTGTGAGTCGTGTGTAAACCGTTTTTGATTCATAAACAGGGGGTTTGGCGGGTGCATGGAATCACTTCTGGGTCTTTGTTTGGAGGACGGACTGATGTCCTAGTGATTATTTGTATTTGAAGTACATGGGTGAAGCATTTATCGAATTGTGGTTCGAACAGAGGACGTGAGTGAAGCACTTGTTCTGTAAGTATTCGGACGTCATCAGTTGTGAGTCGTGTGTAAACCGTTTTTCATTCATAAACAGCGGGTTTGGCGGCTGGATTAACGAGCTTGGATCTTTGTATGCGAGAACGGGCTACATACAAGGTTATTTATAAAACTTGAAGAAATAACACGAACATTTGATTCAAACAGAACAAATTTACATTTAGAAGGAGTCAGATAGGAATATGTTAGGCAGTACACATGTTGGTGTGTAGAACACCCTGTCAAGCTGCGTCAGTCGTGTCAATATAATGGAAAGTTTAAGAAAACTATTGTTAGTCAAACACCTCTCAGACATCCACAACTTTAAGGTCAGATTAGATGCAAAATTAGAACGTCAAAAGTTATATTATAATCCAACATATATAAGGCCAGTAGGCGGGGCATAAAGAGCTAGATCTCACTCTGTAGTCACTGATAGGTAAGTGTGAACCCTGGTGTGTGTGTGGAGGCTGCAGCATCTGTCTCTCCTCTCGTCTCACTGGTTGTGATGCTCGGATATCATACGAGTCAGAACTTAACCGTGTACCCGGGGTATTTCCTAGATGGGTCGTCCTCAACACAAGCTGAAGGGTGTATGGTCAAATTCCACACAAGACGGTTCGACAAAGCGCCTTTTCCGATTGTTAAAGCCGTGTATATATATATTTTGCTAGGTTAGGATGTATAAGCTTAGGTATGCTGTGTTAGGCTCGGTTGGGTTAAGTTAGCTTTTAAAATCTTTGGCGAATAGTCATATGTACAATGTGACGTATCCTTCAGATTATGTTTACATGGCTTTCGTTGGAGTGAATTTCTTCACATTTGCATCATTTTGTCTTTACTGGTCAATGGGTAGTTAAAAATATTTCACCAATAATCATTATGTTACATGATTACCCAATTTCCAATTTATTAAATGGTTAAAATAAACTCATATTTTCATGAGGGAATATCACGAATGACATGACAGGGGATGGCACTAAAGACACGACAAGGGAGGTAGAATGACATGATAGGGGATAGAATGGCAGGAACTACAGGACGGGATAGCACGAAGGGCTACCACATATGTGGCCTCATGATTAAAGATACAAATATGTCCCCAACCCCTTACATATGGGGAAGTTAAGTCACAGATATGGCCCCACCCCTTGCATATGGGGCTGCTAAGAACCTCAATGTCGAGGTGTGTCTTTGCTGTTGCTGGGAAGTAGTAGTGTGGCAGTAGTTATTGGCTCCTCCCAAGGTTATAACAGTTCTGGTCTACTTGCTCGTACAAAAGACTGTAACATCCGAGAGTTTTCACAAAGTGTAGATATACTCAGTAGTTGAAGCATGCAATAAATCTGGAGCAAAGGGCTAGGCTAGGCTAAGCTACGTTTTGGTTAGGCTAGACTAGGCTAGGTTTAGGTTAGACTAAGCTAGGGTTAGGCTAGGCTAAGCTAGGGTTAGGCTAGGCTAAGCTACGTTCAGGTTTGGCTAAGCTAGATTTAGGTTAGGCTAAGCTAGGTTAGCTTAACTTAGGTTTAGGCTAGGTTAGCTTAGGTTTTAGGCTAGGCTAGGTTAGCTTAGGTTTAACTAGGTTGTTTAGATTACAACATTTACATATGAATGACACTTGATTGTATCTATGTAGACAAGTTATACATAATTTGCCTTTCATGGGGAGTAAGGATGGCTTAAGTAACTGCATCGCTTTCAGAGTATATATGTTCAACGTATTTGTATTTAAATTATCAATATTTACCGTCCACAGCTTCCTACACCTGTCTCTTCCTACACCTGTCTCTTCCTACACCTGTGTCTCGCTACCTACACATGTGGCTCTCTTCCTACACCTGTGTCTCTTCCTACAGCCCTGAATCACGACGTACCCTTAAAGTTGTCCCGTTCTGTCACTTTCGTTATCATGTCGTGTTCAATCATGATTGTAATTATGTGCTTATGTCACGCTCGTAATGTGTCCTTCTGTCACTCGTAATGTTGTCACATTCAAGATTTTTGTCACGTTTTGTCTCGTTTTCTCGACATTTTGACCAGCGTCTTATGGGATTTAGACTGAGTGGAATGTTTACTTTTCCAGCTTACAATAGTGTATTGGAATCCTTGAATAATTAGGCGTTATATCAAGATGTTGTTCTAACGGATTTCGTATAGTACTTGTGGATTATTTATAGCTTTCTATAGCCTCGGCACTGTACTTTCTATAGCCTCGGGCACTGTACTTTCTATAGCCTCGGCACTGTACTTTCTATAGCCTCGGCACTGTACTTTCTATAGCCTCGGCACTGTACTTTCTATAGCCTCGGCACTGTACTTTCTATAGCCTCGGCACTGTACTTTCTATAGCCTCGGGCACTGTACTTTCTATAGCCTCGGCACTGTACTTTCTATAGCCTCGGGCACTGTACTTTCTATAGCCTCGGGCTGTACTCTCTTCCCTCGAGGGAGCTCCTGCTCTCCTCGGCCTCCACTATGTAACCAAACACTGTAACACAGTGGCCATTGTGTGTTTGTGTGACGTCAACTTGACGCTGCACAAGCGCTGACGTCAACTTGACGCTGCACAAGCGCTGACGTCGACTTGACGCTGCACAAGCGCTGACGTCGACATGACACAGCCACAAGAGCCACGGTGTATGCCAGCCACAAGAGCCAAGATGTATGCTAGCCACAAGAGCCAAGATGTATGCCAGCCACAAGAGCCAAGATGTATGCCAGCCACAAGAGCCAAGATGTATGCCAGCCACAAGATCCAAGATATATGCCAGCCAAAAGAGCCAAGATGTATGCCAGCCACAAGAGCCAAGATGTATGCCAGCCACAAGAGCCAAGATGTACGCCAGCTACAACAAGAGCCACAGAGGAGGCAGAGGAGTACGCTCTAGGAGCTAGACATCCACCCAGCATACTGACTCTATAATTACTCCCTTCATTATATCTTGTGACAGTAGAGTGGTTAAGGAAGCGAGTAATTGGGTGCTCGTCTAATGACCCAGGGACTCGTAAGATGAGCCCTGGAAGATTTACCACAATCTTAAGCTGTGATTTGATCTTACGAGGCAAATGGCTTCACACCCTTAGTACTCTGTTGTCTAGTTAGGTCCATGGTCTTAACATTACCCTATTAGTCTTGGTCTTAAATCCCTCCTGCTTTACTGTGCTTGCAATCTGGAAAACAGATCTGCTTGTCAGTTTTTGACATTATCGTGTTTTGATCTCGCCCTTTTGAATGTCAAAGGGCGATGACTCGCTGGTGTGTGTGTGTGTGTGTGTGTGTGTGTGTGTGTGTGTGTGTGTGTGTGTGTGTGTGTGTGTGTGTGTGTGGAAGGTGCTGACACTTGGGAGTCTGTGGCAGTCATTGGTGTGGAGGTGGAGACAGCGAGACACTGTTGGCGAAGACAGTCCCGAGGCGGTACTATACTCCTGTGAAAGGGAGGAGAAGTGTCTGGGGAACACGGTTGCGATGGCTGCTGCTGCTGCTACTGTTGCTGCTGTTGCTGTTGCTGTTGCTGCTGCTGTTGCTGTTGCTGCTACTGTTGCTGCTGCTACTGTTGCTGCTGCTCCGGCTACTGTTGCTGCTGCTACTGTTGCTGCTGCTGGTACTGCTGCTGCTGCTGCTGCTGCTGCTACTGTTGCTGCTGCTGCTGCTGCTGCTGCTACTGCTGCTGCTGCTGCTACTGCTGCTGTTGTTACTGAGCCTCACCCAGCATCACGTACCCTTTCCTCCCCTTTTCCTTTTGTTTCCTTGCAAAACCTCTCCATCCCGTCCCCTCATTCCTTCTCCTCCTCCTCTCTCTCTCTTCTGCCATCTTTCTGCTTCTCAGCCTCCCTCCACTTGTCAACGCATTTCTCCTTGCCCCTTTTCCATTTTTTCCATTTTTACTTTTTCTACCTTTTTGGGTTTCCTCTTCCGCGTCTCTTCCCTCCAATCTCCTTCCTATCCCTTACCATTTTTTCCTCCGCATTCCTCCTTCTCTCCTCCTTTTATTCCTATCCTTTCACAATTTTTTTCAGTTATAATTCTTACCCGCCTTGTGTTTCTACCTCTCCCGCCAGCAGTCCTTCCCTTCCCAGTGGTAGACGTGTCTGTTGGTTCATGGGACGCTGAGTGCTCCTTGGAGCCACAGTGGGTCGAATAGTACTCCCAGGAGTGTCATGGTCTCCGGCCGCCACCCGGCTTGTGTGTGCGTGGCCTCAGCTCCTCTCCGTGTCTTCTACCACCTCCGTCACGGACCTCAGCACCTCTATACATGTTTAGATTTAGGAAAGATAAGTATAGATTTAGGAGAGACTTGGGTAAATACTGGTTCGGTAACAGGGTTGTTGATTTGTGGAACCAATTACCGCGTAACGTGGTGGAGGTGGGGTCGCTTGATTGTTTCAAACGTGGGTTGGACATGTATATGAGTGGGATTGGATGGTTATAGATAGGAGCTGCCTCGTATGGGT